GACTCGTCAGTGCTACCAAGCCGACCAATCACAGTGCTTGCTCTACATGTCATTGCGACGTGTAGTTACATTTTTTGAGAGTTGCACGTCAGTGACGGCCACAGCGTAGGGCTATGCATCGACGCGTATGCTATGCCGTAACACACATACTTGACGCAGAAGTATAAATCAGCCTTAATTTGGCATTGTACGATGGTTAATGTAGAACATTCCGATAGACGATGGCATCGTTGTCGTAGGTGGCGGTGAATTAAGGATCTATAAATAATGAATTGCAGGGTGTCTGCAGGGTCTTAAAGTATTAAAAGTTGATAAATCATGAGAAAATGAAGGCCCTTAAAAAGTATTAAAGTCTTAGGCTGCTTTCACACCTGTGAATGGATTCACTTGTTCTGAAACAGGGATTAAAAATGTTACAGTGTTGCTCTTTGCTCTTGGAGCGGTTCGCTTTCACACTGCAAAGTTTCTAAACGAACCAAAAGAGCTAAAACAAGTCACGTGTGAGTAAACTCTCCTCACATTGGTCAGAGTGTCAGGGTTTAGTCCTGCTCAGCTGTCATGCGTCCTTATTTTAATTATGAAAATGAGCAACAAGACATTATAAGCGGAAAGCTGCGCTTTAATTTTGAATGGTGACGCCTACAGACATCATCACCAAGTATAAATCAGAGTAATGACTTTCTCATACAGAGCCCTTGGCTAGAATTATACATTATAGGCTTTACATTATAGAGAGACATAACAGATAAACCAAAACTGCAGTTTGGTTAATTTTCCTAACGGATAAACAGCTCTCGTTAATATAATAATAATAATAAAAGAGTAATAATAACATGCTTTCACTTTCGTACAGGTAAGAATGACCTCCCGCCCTACTCATTCTCTCTTCTTATAGCCGTATGCCTATTACATATCCATAAAACACTGTGATATAGCCGGGCTCGGATCATTTTGCTTTCTCACTACAATCGATCCTCTCCAGACCTCGTTTCAATCGAGCCGAGAGCACCTTATTCAGGCGATCTCAGACCGATTGATTTGGCATGGATCTGAGCGTGAGTGCTGGATTCACCAGGGTCTCTACAGGTTTTATCAAGTAAAATTTAAGACTTTTTAAGACCATTTTAAGACCATAATGAATCAAATTTAAGACTTACACTTATGCAAAAGGTAAAATCTTAATTACATTAAAAACAAATGTTATTAAAATTTAGAGAATTAACACGTATTAATAAGTAAATAGTTAATAAATAAACATTGCTTAATTTTTATTGAAATACTGTTAGTGATTGGATGGGTGTTGGCCCAATTAGGTATAGCTTTACATGGATATAGGAAAATAAAGACTCGTTTAAAATGATTTAAGACCTACAGCACAATATTTTAGTGAATTTAGGACTTTTAAAGGCCTAAAAGTTTGTTTTCGGAATTTAAGACTTTAAGACCCAGCAGATACCCTGTCCACATATGCCAAACGAACCGCGCTAACTGGGCAAATGAGACCGGTTCTGAAGCAAAAGGTGTGAAAGCACCCTTAATTGCATTTTATGAGGTCTTAAATTTTGTTCAAGCACTGTCCAAAGTGTTTGAAAGAGTCCAAGTGACTCTAAAAATGCATGAATATATTTATTTTTCTCCTAATAATAACAACTGTGTGCTCAGTCCACCGCCATCGTCCATTGCGATGTTTCACTTTATACATTATATGATGTCAAATTGGTCGACATCGTCCAACTCTATCTGCGACACAACTACTTTAAAACTCCTGCAGTCTGAGCATTCAGTTATCCACTGAGAAACTGTTTGTTTTGGTCATTTTTAATTAAAATCTGACCTTCTCTGATTGGGTGAAATGCACTTGGCTACGCCCCTCCAAACATTATTTCACTTTGAATGAAAGATGAAAGGCAGGACTCAACAATAAACCCCGCCCCCTACTCAATACTGTGTTTCAGTTGGACATGCATCATCATACCAAATTAAAAGTCTGCATCAACTTCTAATTGACACTGATATTAAATGAGGACAGGTAACACTCAGCTTGAAAAAACTATATAAACTATATATGTAAACTATATCTAGGTCCTGCTCAGTATTGTTCATCAGTAAGGTTAGCTAATATATATATATATATATATTCTTTATTTTTTGTTATGTTTCCTGAAGAAATGGCTGCATGTAGATTGTGAATCTGGCGCCACCTTGTGTCTCTAAATTTTAGTGCAATAATTCTAAAATGGGCAGCACAGTGGGTAACACAATCGCCTCATAGCAAGAAGGTCGCTGGTTCGAGCCCCAGCTGGGTCAGTTGGCTTTTCTGTGTGGAGTTTGCATGTTCTCCCTGTATTGGCGTGGGTTTCCTCCAGTTGCTCGGATTTCCCCCACAAGCCCAAAAACATGAGGTACAGGTGAATTGGGTAAGCTAAATTGTCCGTAGAATATGTGTGAGTGTGTATGGATGTTTCCCAGTACTGGGTTGCAGCTGGAAGGGCATCCGCTGTGTAAAACATAAGTTGGCGGTTCATTCCGCTGTGGCAACCCCTGATTAATAAAGAAACTAAGCAGAAAAGAAAATGAATGAACAATTTTAAAAGGATCTTCATTCATTTTTTTCCTTCGGCTTAGTGCCTGATTATTAGGGGTCACCACAGTAGAATGAACCGCCAACTATTCCAGCATATGTTTTACCCAGCAAATGCCCTTAAATAATGTTATTCTTAGACGCTGGCTAGACATTTAGATTTTGGTCACCTGACATCACAACCTAAATCTAACCTAATATTAACGTCTTATGATGTTGTGTGTCTGCTGGGCAATAACCAAATGCACTACAGAATATTACGTTTACACACATCCACAAATAACATGTAAACGCATCAGCTTTTCACAGTGTAATACTCACTACTCTTGAGTACTTTTGAAAGGGCTTCTTTTTACTTTGAGTAATATTTACAGCAGATACCTTTACCCTACTCGCACTACATTTTTAAACAAGTAGTGGTACTTTTACTTGAGTATGATTTTTCACTACTCTTTCCACCACTGCTGACAGGGTATTCGAGTGTCATCATGTGACAGATGTAGAGGTATGTTGTGTGACTGCTATACAGGAAGTTATTATAGGTTAGATACAAATCACGGTATTGTGGTCACTGCTCTAAAATGTTTTTTTTTTTTTTAACTGTCTGGATAAAAAAACATTCCCACATTGAACAAAACACATTTTATTTTAGGAACCAGAATATTTTGAAACGGTATGTCAGGCCAAATAATTAAAATAAATCAGAGGTGCACCAACTCTGTGAACTCAAACCAGAAACTTAACCTGGATGATGGAGGCTTTCAGCGGTGCTTCTGACTGAGCCCAGCCCAGTTTGATAAACTGTTGTCGGTGTAGGCAGGAGGATTTCCCCCGGTACACCAACAACAGGCGCTACGTCATAAGCACGCCCCCACAAGAGGAAGCTCTCGATTGGTTAACGTGGTGCGAATGTCCGCTCAAGTTCAAATTTTTGAACCTGAGCGATTCGCGTGAAACACGTGATACACGCGTCTATCACGCATAACGCTTAACTTGCGCTGCTTCATTTGCGCGATTGCATTATTCGCGCTGCCTTAATCGTGCGTATCGCGCCGCAGGATGTCTAGTCGCATCTTTGCATTGATTTAACATGTAAATCACTCCCACTTGACGCTTTCGCGTCTGGTGTAGATTACGGGTTGGGTGATGTCGACCAATTTGCCATCAAACGATGTCTAATATGAAACATCGCGATGGACGATGGCATCGTCATCTTAGGAGGATTTCCCCCGGTACACCAACAACAGGCACTACGTCATAAGCACGCCCCCACAAGAGGAAGCTCTCGATTGGTTAACGTGGTGCGAATGTCCGCTAAAGTTCGAATTTTTGAACCCGAGCGATTCGCGGGATACACGCGTCTATCACGCATAACTTGCACTGCTTCATTTGCGCGATTGCATTATTCGCGCTGCCTCAATCGTGCGTATCACGCCGCAGGATGTCTTGTCGCATCTTTGCATTGATTTAACATGTAAATCACTCGCACTTGACGCTTTCGCGTCTGGTGTGAATTACGGGTTGGGTGATGTCGACCAATTTGCCATCAAACGATGTCTAATATGAAACATCGCGATGGACGATGGCATCGTCGTCTTAGGCAGCAGTGAGTGAATTATGAATAATTAATAATAATAATTAATTTATGAATAGTTCATAATGAATTAATTATTTGTAGCCTACTGTTTTAACTTTGTTTTACCTATAACCAAAACATTCATGAATAAAGAGACGTTACACACATAATTACCTCCTGTCAATCACTTTTTCCGTGGGACTCGTGAATAAGCAGAGTGATCTGTGTCGGTATAATGGCATTGACGAACCTGGTTGGTAAAAAAGGTGCACAACCAACAGAAACCAACCAACAGTATCTGAGGTTTTCGCTAAAATGACTAAGTACTAGCGTAAAAGAGAAAGATTAAACCGCGTACTTCCATACTATACAGTACGCTAAAATCAGTATGTGTGCTGAGTAGTGTGCAGTATGCGAGAAGTACCCGGATGACTTACTACTTCCGGCGAGATTCTGAAGTGCGCATCCCATGCACGCTGCTCTATCCCATGATGCCCCGCGAGCGAATTCATGAATGGGAGTAATGCGACGCAAATTACGCAGGTATCAAGTGACTGTCAAAATGGTGAATGTAGTACGTCCGAATTCCATTCATACTTTTCACATTCATACTGTATAGAATGCACTTTTCTAACGGCCGAGTAGTATGTTTAAATTAAAATGCAGTACTTACTGAGTAGTAGGCGGTTTGGGACGCAGCCATAGTGTGTGTGTGGTCACGTGACGTGCGTTTTCAGCGGTAGTGTGGAAAGAAGGAGGGCTGCTCAGACATGCTTGGTGAACACCAGAGTGGATCATTTTCATTCTAAAATGCCATTTAAAAACTAAGACTTATTAGTGTAAACAGGGTCTGAGTGTGTATTTTTCGCGAGCGGATTTGCAACGGGGGCGGGGCGGAGGATCGCGATGCCGACTTAGCATCGTGGTGGTGTCTGCTATGGACAATGGCATCGTCTATCGGCCCAACCCTAGAGTGAATGCAGCATACAAGTATAGGGTGCAATTTTGGATACAGCCTCGGTTTACACCTGGGGTGACCCGATGACCTTCACAGCCAATCACAGTCATTTGTTTAAAGGGCCATGAAACCCCCTCGTTTCAGCAGGGTGTTTTCACACCTCTACTTTGGAAAAAGTCAGAAAAGTGGGCGTGTCCAGCTCTGTTTAGGGGGGAGTGTCGGAGGAACTAAAGTGGGAGGGTGTGGGAGTGTCTATTTGGGCACGCGCGAGTTTCAGTCAAAATACTCACACATGAGAAAGTGATGGTGTTTAACCTACGTGGACATCTGTAGTCGAATTATTTGCCAAATTATTAAATGGTGGACTTTAACTGCAGTTTGGCTCTTTTATTCAGGGAATTCAGTCATGTTCCTCGCGACAAACGAGATATTTGATTCGAGGAACTGCTCTAAGCGTGTATTTTTCATGCAATGTTTGATACCGCACGGCGAATGAGAGAAAAAAACCCTCCGCATTTCCCGGAAACTTAGATGCACACGGCAGGTAGTGTCAGAAAGCCGCGTGTGTTATTCCGGTCACAAAATGCGGTGCTATGTTTGCACTCAGTGCAATAGTTAACTTAATTCGATACGAACAAACTGAATAAACAAAGAGCACTGGTCGCTCACTTACCAAATCTGTAGAGACAGAACAATCACCAGCAACTAGAGCCGCGTCTTTAGAAGAGGAGACTAAACGTTACAAGCAAATTTTAGCGTTTGCAGATGAGTACAGCTCTCAGGTAAACAATAATCCTCCTTAGACACGTAAGTTATTGTTGTCGAGCGTCGCGTACACTGTTAATCCACACGTGACTCCAGCTGAGCTCTCACAGAGAGAAAATGAAAACGAAACTTAATGGCAGCAAACTATAAAAGCAACACTTCACGCTTGTTTTGCCAACACAACGTGGCGTCTCTGTGGCGTAAACACGGTGACGCTAATGAATAGTAATGAAGTTGCACAATAGAGCGCGCTGATTGGTTTGAACCAAGCCTTACTCATGCATTAATGCAGCACACTGTAAGACGTAATAAGACACACTCTGGCACAGACATCCAGTCTGCATGCTGGAATACACGCTATTATGTCATGACCGTGACGCAGCTTCAAAAATTCGTTTCAAACCGGAAGTACGAATTTGCTTGAAATAACGCAAAAACAACCAATTTACACTTTTTAGTGAAATATAGGTGTCCTAATAGTGTTTATAGCAGTGTGGGACACATATACGACTGTCAACAGCTCAACACATGTGTTTTGGTGTTTAGTGACCCTTTAAGAATGCACTCAAATGTTTATGTAATTTTTACATTCCAGTACTAATTGGGACTGAGGTTGACACTTTCAACAAGCCTCAAAATGAGCATTTGCATTTCCACTGAAACACAGCCGTTGTGTATAATATTGACCATTTTCAGTTGTAAGTTGTGTGGTTTAAACTTTAAACATACCCTGTGTGTGTGTTTATCAGTGGATACAGGAACCTGGAGAAGAAACCGGGTCCGCTAGTGAAGCGTGTCAGTGTGTACGGAAACTCCTCCCTCATTATTCCTGCATTTGCATATGTAATCTGCACCTCGCCATCCCTCCGGGTCCTCCGAGTCCTGCAGCCAATCAGACCTCAGCAGCCGGTGCTGTTTTTCAGCCCACATTACCTGCGTGCTCTGGACCGCTTCTGGAAGGGGCGTGGCCTCAAGGAGAGGCGCCTCTCTACTGGCTTTATGCTAATTAGCGCTGCACTTGAAATGTGTGAGCACGTGCACGTGTACGGATTCTGGCCCTTCGGCACCGACCTGCAGGAAAACCCCATTCCTTACCATTATTATGACCAGATGAGGAGCGGGTCCGTTCACCGCATGCCGGAGGAGTTTCTGCGTCTCCTGCAGCTCCACAGCCAGGGGGCGCTAACGCTGCACCTGCAGCCCTGTGACACGCACTGAAACGCTGCATTAACGGTGCACATTACTCATTTATTCATGTGAGAGCACATTACAGGCTGCTGCTGTTCTTCAGGCAGTGTAATTTAGGAAAACGGGGAAGCTCAGCAGTATTTATGCATCATCTGTACATCAGTGTGTGCCTTTAAGATAATCATGTCAGATTTAGCTCACTTTAAGATGGTTCACCCAAACATTCTGTCACCTTTATGAATTTCTTTTGTTGAAGATATTTCGAAGAAAGCTGGAAACGTAACAATTTTTTTTTTTAGCATTCTTCAAAATATCTTCTTTTGTGTTCAACAGAAACTCACAAAGCTTTAAAACTGCATGAGGGTGTTCAATTACTTTTTTGGGAGAACTGTTCCTTTAAAAGGGATTGTTTTGTCCTCCGGCCGTGCAGCTCTTACTCTGGTGTTGTTTACTGAGACTTGAAATACACAGAGAGAAATGTTTAATGCGTTTGATATGGACATAAGTTATTTATAAGTTGAATGCATTTGATTTTGTGTTAGTGAAACTGTTGAAATAAAAGCATTTTCTAACATGTTAAATATCTATATTTGGTTCAGAGTGTCACTTGGTAGGGCCATCTGCAGATTTATACGCAAAATTTTGTAAAATAATAATATACAGTTGAAGTCAGAATTATTCGCCCCCACTGTTTATTTTTCCCCCAATTTCTGTTAAAATGAGAGCAGATTTTTTCAGCACATTTCTAATTTACATTTACATTTAGTCATTTAGCAGACGCTTTTATCCAAAGCGACTTACAAATGAGGACAAGGAAGCAATTTACACAACTAAGAGCAACAATGAATAAGTGCTGTAGGCAAGTTTCAGGTCTGTAAAGTCTAAGAAGGGAAGTATTAGTAGTATTAGTAATTTTTTTTTTTTTGTACAGTTAGTTTGATATTCAGAGAGGCAATTGCAGATTAGGAAGTAAAGTGGAGACTAAATAGTTGAGTTTTTAGTGGTTTCTTGAAGACAGCGAGTGACTCTGCTGTTCTGATGCAGTTAGGGAGTTCATTCCACCAACTGGGCAGATTGAGCGTGAGCGTTCGCGAAAGTGATTTCTTCCCTCTTTGGGATGGAACCACGAGGCGACGTTCATTCACAGAACGCAAGTTTCTGGAGGGCGCATAGATCTGCAGAAGTGAGTGCAGATAAGAAGGAGCAAGGCCAGAAGTCACTTTGTAGGCAAACATCAGAGCTTTGAATTTGATGCGAGCAGCAACTGGCAGCCAGTGCAAACGGACTAGCAGCGGAGTGACATGTGCTCGTTTAGGTTCATTGAAGACCACTCGTGCTGCTGCGTTCTGGAGCAGCTGAAGAGGCTTGATAGAGTTAGCTGGAAGCCCGGCTAGCAGAGAGTTGCAGTAATCCAGTTTGGAGAGAACAAGAGCTTGAACAAGGAGTTGAGCTGCATGTTCAGATAAGAAGGGTCGGATCTTTCTGATGTTCATAATAGTAATAATAATCATAATAATCATAATAGTGTTAATAACTCATCTCTAATAACTGATTTATTTTGATTTTGCCATGATGACAGCACATAATAATAGACTAGGGGCTCTTTTTTTGATGATGCATGCGCAAAGTGCAAAGCGCAGGGCGCAAATGCATTCAGGGCGTGTTAGGGTGCTTTAACCCTTGGTTCATTTGCCTGGACCGTACCCAAGATCGATTGTCTCCCCCTGCCACCTCCTCGGTTGGTTTGTGTTCACACTTGTCATTTTTCCAAGCGGCAACCTCCCGATCTCCCTCAGGAAGCCAATACTGCAGTAACTAAAACTGCAATTTATCGAAATTCCGCTAGTCCTGGCCACTCCTGGCTCCAAAACAGAGCAAATTTCAATTGAGCCCACTGTTAGAATGGCCAACTCTACAGCAGAAAAAAGGTGTTTACAGCCTGCTACAAAGAAAGATTTTGGGTCATACAGCTAATATTACCCTTCATGACAACTGTGAGGGGGTGAATTTTTTTTATAACTCATCCGTTTCCTTTATATTAAATTTGCATAATTTAGGGCGTGGCCACTTGAGTGACAGCTAAGTGTGCTCAAAAACCTGAGTTATATCCTAAAACACATGCTGTGCCCCATATGGTCTAAAACCTGCAGGTGGACAAATATTAGCTTGTTTTTAATAAAACAAATATAAATATGCATATAATAAATAATACTGCTAATAATAATAACATTATACAAATGCGAATTGAATGAACTGAAAAAGCCTCCCGAGATGAAGAAGGCATGAAGGCGGTGGTGTTTATATTTATGTAGACTAGAAAATAATATGTTTTGTAATATTTTAATCCTTATATGTATATCCTATATATATCCTTATTATATCCTATATATATATATATATATATATCCCTTAATCCTTAAATTCTTTTTCATTTGTAAAGATATTTGCGTATTGCTCTACATCTTGTGTGTATTAAGCAGTGTGTAAGCGAGGCGCACAACTAATACGCTCTGTGCTGGACAATAGACCGTCTTTGTTATGGTCTATTGAAAAATCTATTATAGTTTAACAACAAGGTAAACAACAATTGCGTTGCGCCTTGCGCCACATTGCGCCGGGTGTATGATAGGGCCCTAGATAGTGTCTATTCAAGACACTTCTATCCAGCTTAAAGTGACATTTAAAGGGTTAACTAGGTTAATTAGGCAGGTTAGGGTAATTAGGCAAGTTATTGCATAATGATGGTTTGTTCTGTAGACAAACCACTGTTGTACAACAACTTGCCTAATTTCCCTAACCTGCCTAGATAACCTAATTAACATATAGTGAAGCCTTTAAATGCCACTTTAAGCTGTATAGGAGTGTCTTGAAAAATTCAATTCACCTTTATTCGAATATCGCTTGTACAATGTAGATTGTGTCAGAGCAGCTTCACATAGAAGATCAGGGTAAATTGAAACGGTGTCAGTCCAGTTTTCAGAAGTTCAGTTTAGTTCAGTTCAGTGTGGTTTAATAATCACTACTGAGAGTCCAAACACTGAAGAGCAAATCCATCAATGTACAGCTCTACAGATCCCGAACCATGCAAGCCAGTGGCGAGGGAAAACCCAACTGGTGAAAGTAAAGTGCGCCTGGACTGCAGCTCTGCACAAAACGTTTGGCCATAAGAGAAATGGTCGTGCCCAACTGAGCCTGGTTTCATGGCAAAGATAAAATAAATCAATTACAAATGAGTAGGCCCACACAGAGTTACGCAGACTTTCGCAGATTTTTAGCACATCATTAATTCTGTTTATTTACTTCAGTAAATGTGTGTAAATCTAAATTTATTCAGTTTTTTTATTAATTACAGTAATATTGAAAATGTTCATCTGATTTATGTACAATGCAGTTTGTACAGTAATAGTTTGTCTTTTAGTAGAGATATTATATGAGAGACTTGCTTTGTTTACCAAATGAAGTGGATCTAATTGGATTGGCAATTTAAACATTAAATAAAAGTTAAAAATGTATTACTTTTTATTTCACATATTAATGTTTTAGTTATGATGCTTGCAAAATAAATCCGCAGATTATCAAAATTCTCCGCAGAAATGGCAAAAAACATCCGCAGATTCCATCTGGCCCTGCAAATGAGTTATTAAAACCATTATGATTAGAAATGTGTTGAAAAATATCTTCGTTAAACAGAAAATGAGGAAAAAAAATAAACGGGGACTAATAATTCTGACTTCAACTGTATATACGCAATATAACTGTATTGTATATGATCAAAAACGTGCTTATAATTCAATAATATATAACTGATATAATATTAAAAGCTGAATAAATACATATTTGCATACATTTACATATAACTAGACTGAATAATGGGCTTTTCTAGGTGCAGATTCATGTGGTCCTACTTTATTCGTTTTTTTCCATTACCATTATGCTGTTTATTAGTGTTTTTAGGAATCAAACTGAGTGTACCTGAGCATTGTGAAACAGGGAGTGTGTTGTCAGGGAGTTTTCGGTGGACTTTAGAGCCATAAATGTATGTGAATGATTAATTCTGCTGCAGATTGGAGTCTTTAGGTTGATCACGGAGAACGACGAAGCAACAAGTTTCTCACAGCGACCGGGTAGCTAAATATAGCTGCGTGTAAACACTGTTAATTCTGTAAAACAACAACTGCTAAGTACCTTTCAGTTTTAAGTGGTCTAGCTAATGCTAAAACCGCTGTTAGCCGACCGGGAGCCGGATCCTCTTTCCGTCTTGTCATTGAAAGCTTGATTCATAACTTGAATCCATGAGAGCAGCGCATGTTTGAGTAAGGATGGATGAAAGTAAGGTAAGATAACCTCTCCTAATGATATACATGTGAAATAAGCAGTGATTTCCCTGTGATTGTGTCTCTATCTGTCGATCTATCTCTCTGTCAGAACGATCGCGAGACTCCGCCCACAACTCCACCCAAAGCCACGCCCTCTCTTTCAGCGTCCACTGATCAGCCGAGTGAGTGAATGCTAAAACACACATATCCAGTGCTGTGAAATGTATTGATAGCACTTCACTTATTCCAAAATGAATTAAGTTAAATGATTTCCTCAACATTCTACACACAATCTCCTATATTGACAATGTGGAAAAAGAGTTTTTGAAATTGTTGCAAATTTATTAAAAATAAAAAAAGCAGTAAAGTCAGATGTACATCAGTATTCAGCATTTGGCGTGAAGCTCTAGATTGAGCTCAGGTAAATTCTATCTCCACTGATCATTATGAAGATGTTTCAGCAGCTTCATTGGAGTTCACCTGTGCTCAATTCAGATGATTGGACATGATTTGAAAAGGCATACACCTGCCTATAAGGGCCCAGGGTTGACAGTGCATGTCAAAGCTCAAACCAAGCATGAAGACAAAGGAATTGTCTGTAGACCTCCGAGACAGGAGTGTCTTGAGGCAGCTTGAGGTGGGGAAGCTTACAGAAACATTTCTGCTGCTCTGAAAGTTTCAATGAGCACAGCGGCCAGGGGCAGGATTTCACAAAAACAAGAAAAGATCCAAATTTATTAAACTAAACAACGATGATCCAAAAAACAAAGTGCAGACAAGAAACGAGCAGGAATCCAAAACATCAAGAAGATACAAAACAAAAGTGATTAAAGGGCACCTTGGTTACCCCTTTTTTCAGATTTAATATAAGTCTTTTGCGTCTCTAGAATGTGTATATAAAGTTTCAGATCAAAATACCCATCAGATTTTTCATTATACCTTTTACAAGATACTTTTTTATACTGATTTCCAGCAGGGGGTGGTTTTGTCGTACTGTGCCTTTAAGCCGAGTTCTGCCTGCCCACTTTTTCTACATGCCTCCTCCCTCAGCTGCGTCAGACAACAGACCGACTTAAAGGAAGAAGGTCTCACGTAGCGTTTGTGAGATACTACAGTAAGAACTAACCTTTACTAATCAGTATTGTGAAGTTGCATTGATGAGTCTCACACAAACATGCGCACACACACACGCGCACACACGCACACACACACACACACACACAAAGGCAGGCAGGCAGGCAGACAGACAGAGCGCGCTTAGCTTAGTTAAGGCTAACCTCAAGTACTGTGTGGATATCTGTGATGCTAATGTACAAAATAAACCTGATTTAACGTCCACAAACCGGGATTGAAGCGTCTTCTTTTATAATTGTTCTGACACGCGGCTGTGCTGATGAAGTAAAGCTGAAGTAAAACGCTGTAATTAATTACACACATACTCTGTTTTAAAACACTTTAAACATGTGAAACTCACTCTTAATCACATTTGATGATGATTGCTGATCCTAGCGAACAGAACAGACCTTTTATTCCCGGTTGCTTTGCGTATGTCTGGTCTTGTTGACATATACACGCGACTACCGGAACATGTTAATGCGCGCAGCTGTCAATCAATTCGGTGGGCGGGGGGATCGCACACCTACGTAATGGTGCGATCGATTTGAAAACAGCTCCAATTGGCCGACCCTTTTTTTGTAGTTAAATTGAAAAAAAAGGACTGGGTGTGTTCATATCACCCCAGTATGACGGTCTATACACTACACCAACACACAGATCTGTCCAAACAGCTTGAAAAGTAGATTTTTTTACCATAGGTGCCCTTTAAAGGAACAAACCAAATCACGAGAAACCAAAAGTATAAAGCATAAATCTAAGAGGCAACTAAAACACAACAGAACAGTGCTTATAAAGACAGGGCTCAATTAAACAAACTAGAAACAGCTGAAAACAATTGATCACGTGTGCAGGGACACATGCAGAGACAAAATAAATGCTAGTGCCCTCAAGTATCCACATGAGGGCACTACAACAGGTGTGACATTACCTCCTCTCAAGGGGAGTGGATACCAGACACTCCCAACTGGTTGCTTGAGTAGGAAGGAGGCGGAACAGAGGTGGACCGGGGGTGGTATGGTGGGTCAGGTCTATACTTAGGACAGAACAAACAAAACAGTTTACAAAACAAAACAAGGAACTAAAGCGAGTCTATGAGAGCCAAGGTAGAGCCCACAGAGCTGCTGATCAAAGGAGCCATGAAGAATTGATCCCCTGACTGGAAACAATAGGGAGAAAAATCCCTTTAAACCAGTCATGGGTCCACCAAGGTGCAACTGGTGTGTTTGGTGGCCAGTGATGAACTCCCGGTGAAAGCTTAATATGAATATTTTCAATTTCATAAGGCTCCTTTTATAGCATCGATGTTGTAATGTAATTAAAATATATTCAGTTAAATAGACTTAAGCAATCATTCAGTTGTTCAAGTGTAAACGAGATGAAAGATCGCTAACGTTAGCATCATCAGCATCAGCAGGCTAGCATAGAAACTCTATTGAAAATACTGAGGTAAGATAAACTCTCACGTTTTAAAGACATGATGGCGGTAATGTAATTTAATGCAGTGCTTCTGTCCGGTCTGAGACCCACTTCATATCATATACCAATCAGGCAGGGAAGACCACAGATTTGTAAAGAAATCAGACCCTAAACGTGTCAATTTTATACAACCCAGGCTCATTCTAGAAACTTATTCCTCTCAACGTTTCTGGAGACCGTAAAATATGCCCCGGTAGGTACGCATTTGTGTAGTTGTGTAGAGGCCGCTGTGTGTGCTTTTTCGCATCTAAAATGACTCTTGCGAGTGCCGTTTGCGCCCACGCTGTTCTCCCGTAAACCCACCGGAGGCCGCTGTCGAGTGACCGTCTGTCTTAAGGCTGATTTATACTTCTGCGTCAAACACCGGCGTATGCTACAGCGCTGACGCATAGCCCTTCACTGTGGCCGTTGGCGTCACTGACGTGCGCCTCTCAAAAAATGTAACTACACTTCGCAACGATGCGTAGCGCAAGTTCTGTGATTGGTCGGCTTGGTAGCGCTGATGAGTCTGGGCGGGACCGAGAGCTGCACGAATGGTGCGAGCGATTGTTTACAAGTGTGGAGTCCGGTGAAGGAGCTCCGGATGGAAAGTTTTGTTTTGTGTTTACCTCATAGTTAAAGTTGTTGCACGTCCGCCGGTTCCTGCCTCAAAATGAGCGAGTTTGAGCCACTTGTACATCCCGGAAGTGTTCAGGAAAAGCAAAACAGCAGTGAAGAAACTCGACACAGAGGAACATTTACCCCTCACTGCCAACTAGCGTTTCGGAAGTGTTAATGCAGACCAACAGAGACAGCAGCAGAAGTATAATTGCACAGCTGCGCGCGTTGCATGCGCCGTGAGTTACGCCGGTCACTTGACGCCGAAGTATAAACCAGGCTTTACTGACTGATGGAATGATTGACTGGGCGACCAGCCAATCGGCCGACCCACCCTCCTCCTCCTTCCCTAAACCCAACCGGTTTTACCGATTGACCCGCCTGTCTGCTTGCGTCCCTAAACCCAAGCAATGATTTACAAAAGCCGTCCAGAAAAAGAAAAGCCCTCGTCTGATTTTGACCGCTTTTTCGGATTTCGCCACATTCTCACCCTGTTTTGAACTCGTTCACTTTATTTTTTGGATTCTGTTTTTGTCTTACCTGATTTCTGGAACCGCTCTTCCCCAGACTCGAACCCGGTCGTCACGGTCAGCTCTCCTCCGGGTCTCCACTCTGCTGACGTACACGACAAGCTAACCGGACAAACTGGTTGCCCTCAAGTATCCACATGAGGGCACTACAACAGGTGTGACATTACCCCCTATCAAGGGGAGTGGATACCAAACACTCCCAACTGATTGCCTGTGTAGGAGAGAGGGTGAAACGGAAACCGGCGAGCGCGAAGAGGAGCGGCGTCACACCGCCCTGTAGCGTTCGCCTTAAAGTGAAATGCAGCCATACATACCTCTGGCTACGTAAGACGCGGTCTCCAGAAACGTCGGCGGGACTACGTTTTCAGAATTAAAAAATAATTAAAAGAATAAAAGTCCCTGTGCATAAAGCTGATTAGGACTTTTCTGCATGTTATTATTCTGTCATTTAGAGCAGGGGTTCCCAAACTTTTCAGCTCACGACTTCTAAAACAACAACACCAGTGACTCGCGACACCCCAATATCCTCTGAGGTGGTTGTAAATATACAAACGTGCACACACCAATGGGCCCAAGTAGATTAGAATATAAATAAAACATAGTAATTATAATAGCTTAATAAAAAGAATTCGATTTTTGGAAATCACCAAGCAACCCTTCCTGATTGTCTCACGACCCCCACTTTGAGAACCACTGCTTCAGAGGTCTCAAACTGGAGTCCTGGAGGGCCGCAGCTCTGCACAGTTTTGCTTCAACCCTAATCAAACACAGCTGATCCAAATAATCAAGGTGTTCAATAATACTAGACACTATTAAGCTGGTGTGAGTTGAAGAAACTATGCAGAGCTGCAGTCCTCCAGGGATTAAGTTTGAGAGCACTGCTTTAGATGTGATGTAATGTGTTTTTCTGTGTTTTTCTCCTCCTCACAGTGAGTTTGAGCAGCCCAGAGTTGCTGAAGGAGCTGAAACAGCCTCTCACACTCAAACACGTCCATAAACGCAACGGCTGGACCAAAATCTTCAGCGGGAAAGGACGACCAATCAAACAAAACACACTCTGCACTGATTCGGTACACACTCTTTTCAAATTATTAATTTTATATAAGAGTAATTAAGCATTTTATCTACTATCATTGTGTAGATTAAAGTAGAATGTGATATGAATCAGTGACACCACACTCACAAGTTATTATTTATATTATTGCTTATTAAAAATAAAAATAATAGTAATAAATTTAAGTTTGTATATATAATTTTTAAAAAGTTTTTCTTTTAGGTTTTACATTTGTTATGTTTTTTGTTTTATTTATTATTATTTTAAATATTTATTTATTTAAATGTTTGCTATTTTAATCGTTAATTGAATTATATAAAAGTCATGTATTTTTATTTTTATTTATTTTATTTTTGTTATAAAAATACAAAAAAATTATATTTAATTTGTATTAAATATTTTGTTATGAATAAACCATATGTGAATACAATATATGTGTATATATATGGTTCTTATTTAATCCATAAAAACATATGCAATTAAAAAACATGGTGGTAAAATGTGTTTTTATATCAAAAGCTTTTCAATGTTTTTAGTTAATTTTGCTTAAAGGTTTAGGATTGTGTGTATCATGTTAGATTTTATAATTTAAAAAACTTGTATTATTGCTGTCATTAATATGTAAATATTTGTGTGATTGTGTTTCAGGAGGATTTAGAGAATCGAGCTAAACCAGCACAGTGACAATCAGCAGGCGCGCTCTCATTGGCAGTTTGAGATGTCTGTCAGAGCTACGCCCCGCCCCTATACCAATGTGGGCGTGTTCTGTCTCTGTGAGCTGCTCTGGTTATTATCAGGGTCTTCATCTGGGATGTTTCTGTACAAGATTTAAAAACCAGTGTAACTTTCCCCATAGCACAACTAATATTTGAGTAACGTTGGTTATCTAATCAGAATCAAAGCTGGAGGACTGAGTGTGAAGAATATGAACTGGAAAAATGGCAAGATGAATTTACTGAATTGCAATTGAAAACTCAGTACCCAGTTGCATCTTTACCATGTGAAAACGAATAAATCAAATACATTTTGCCTCCTTTTGTCCTTTTAATCTTAAATTAGAAGCTTTATCGCCAAAGCAATCAAATAACATTTTAAACAATTGTAAATGAGTCACTATGCTCTATAAAAGAAAAGATAATAGATTCTTTATTAAATGTAATGAAATAAATCCAAATTAAATTGTTTTATTTGTTTAATAGTTTTAATTTGCAGTGTTTATTTTTGTTTATTAAATAATAGATCAAAATAAATAATAGCTAATCTTTATTTTTTAGCATCATTTCTATTAATTTATTACAGTAATGATAATTTTATTTTAATAATTGGATTGTTGTAGCATGTTTTACAAGACCTTTTTTTTTTACAACCTTTTGGTCGTGACACAAAGCTCATGACCATATGCGTGAGTAGAAGGTAGATTGACCGGTAAATGGAGAGCTTTGCCTTCGGCTCAGCTATTTCCTGACCACAACAGACCGATACATACTGTAGACCGCATTACTGCTTCCTCTGCACCAATCTGCCTGTCAATCTCACGCTCCATCCTCACTCCTGAACAAAACCTCAGGATACTTGAACTCCTCCACCTGGGGCATGGGCTTTCTTCCAACCTGGAGATGGCAAACCACCTTTTTCCGGTGGAGCACCATGGCCTCAGACTTGGAGGTGCTGATTCTCATTCCAGCCGTGTCACAGGAGTCACAGCCTCTGCAGCAAATCGCTCCAGTGCATGCTGAAGGTCCAGGTTTGATGAAAGCAAAAGAAATAATTGATCTTATTACAAATAATATATAGTACTAGTTATATGATTGTAGAATTAATTATTGTATAATTACATAATAATCATATATATATATATATATATATATCTTGTATAATTGTCAATATTTATTTTTGTGTCCATTTACGTGTAGCTATTTATGTATATATAGGGAATATTATTAAACAGAATTAAATGAAGTGAACTTATTTCACTATTTCTCTTAAATCGCATATCCAGTATTAGTTTGAAGTATTAGTTTGGTTAATTATTGACTCTAGTTAACCATTAGCCTGACGTCTGGAAATATGGAGAGTCAGATTGTTGTTTTATTTTGGCTAATTATGCGTCACACTGAATGACTATGAAACATTATTTCACTCACATGTTGACATTTTACTTTCAGCCATTTTCAATGAAATAAAAACAATTCAAATAGACACTTTCCTTGGATTTATCACGACACAGACACTATTACCACGTCTTTTGATTGATATGACTGGGCGTCGGTTCAAAGTTCACAGGTCAGGCTGATCTCGGATTGTGTCTCATTATGTTATAATACATCCGGACGGACTGCGGCAGCGGCGGCGCGGAGAATGGTGTCCGGCCTGGGTCGCTGTTTGGCGGCTGCGGCGCTGCTGAGTTTCCTGCTGTTCCTCAGCTCTCTCTGGCTGCGTGAGTGATAGCTGAACTTTTTCTCTATATCTTTGAGGTCTTTTTAAACCAGTGTGTTCAAATTTTGATTGAAACTAGTTACACGTGTCCGCTATTAAATGGCGTAAATGTTATGTTCGCAGTACAAACAGAAAGAGCACGGTTTCAAACAGGAGAAGAGTTAAACGTAATTCAGCTTATATCTTGGGTTATTTGAAACCAGAGACTGTAAAAAATAGGTAACACATAAGATTATAAAATGAGAATTATGATTGAAAAAAGGATTTAAAATCAGAATATTTGGTGTCATGGGGTGGATTTAATGATTTGGGGGCCCTAAGCAACTCCAGCCATGGGGCCCAAGTGCTGAAATGCACTATTTCTACTTTCATTCATTTTATTTTTTTGCTGTTTTTTTTATGTCACTCAATCTTATTTTCTACGTTGTATCTTAATGCAAGCTCTACACTTTTTAAATGATTAGTTTTCTTAGAATGAATTTACAACTACAAATCTTAAATATTGTTTATAAATTTGACTGCTGGACTGCTCCATGATTTGGGGGGGTAGATATTTTATTGTATAATATTATAATTACATAACATTACATTATTATAAAAATATTGTTTTATTCTATATTAAATTAGATTTAATGATGTAAAAAATTTACCTGTTTGACTCTCACTATACAAAATATGATGTTATATAACAATATATATATATTCATTCATTCATTCATATTCTTGTTGGCTTAGTCCCTTTATTAATCCGGGGTCGCCACAGCGGAATGAACTGCCAACTTATCCAGCATGTTTTATATATATAATTTACACTTCTAGATATTTATTGGGGGCCCTCAGATGTCCTGGGCACCCTAAGCGGCTGCTTACCTTGCTTATTGGTTAAATCTGCCACTCATTGGTGTGTTAGCAGTGTGTGCTAATGTGCATCAGCTTCAACTACTGAACACGCTGTAGATAATGTCCATCAAGTAGCCGTACATTGTAATTCATGTTTTTATTTCCCCCATTTATTTCTGCTTTTGAATTGCATTTTTGGAGCTTGATCTGTCGTCCAACAACTTTTAACCTTGAACGTTTGAAAAAGTGACTTTTATTAACTTTTTTTTTTTTTTTAGCTTGAAGTGATAAGCTGTCTGGATTTGATGTTGTTTATTATGGTACAATTCATACTCATTCGTTCATTTTCTTATCAGCTTAGTCCGTTTATTAATCTGGGGTCGCCACAGCAGAATGAACCGCCCATTAAGGAAACACTCATATCCACCATTCACACACTAAAGCGTGTCCCAAATCGTATACTTATGCACTATTCTACGCCATTTTGTAGTATAAACAGTGCAAGTTGTGGTTTCACCATGAAAACTCTCAAAATAATAAGAGCACTTTAATTACCCGGATGATCACTCATTCAGCCGCTAAAATGAAGTGTGTAATGATGGACACTTCACGCCCTCAACGACCGCAGGTTTGCTCGAGTAGCGGAAGGGGCGGAGCTATCGGGCGCACATGTTGGATAACTTTATTTATTTTGGATGGTGAAAGCAGAATTCTCCTACGAGAGTGATTATAGCGCCTCCCGATGGTGAATGCGGTTATACTCACGGGAGGTATTATTTGATCATTCGTTCGTTTATTTCACTAATTTGGCGACCGTCAAACGTCATCAGGAAAACGGTTTGAATTTCCGCTTAGTAGAAAAACCATTAGAATGTCATTTGGGACGACACTACATACATATACTATCCTGTTGTAAGTGCATAAGTACATAGTGCATGAGTGTATAGTGTGCCATTTGGGATGCAGCTATACACTACTGACTATTTAGCTTACCCAATTCACCTATACCGCATTTTTTGGGGGGGGATTTGTGGTGGAAATCTGAGCACTCGGAGGAAACCCAACACGGGGAGAACATGCAAACTCCACACAGAAATGCCAACTGGCCTAGCTGGGGCTTAAGCAAGTGACCTTCTTGCTGTGAGGCGATTGTGCTACCCATTGCGCCACCGTGCTGCCCCTCTATATATTAATTCTCATACATTCTATTATTATTTCAAATGATTAAAATCTCAATAAAAGTGACTTTGTTGAACTGTAGAGTTGACTTTACAACATCAAAAGTAGCCAGAGCAGAGATCCACTTCCCATGATGCAATTCACAATCATAAATAAACCCAAAACACTTGATTAGTGTCACAACTATCCCCTACATCAGCACCTTCAGCGTCACTAATAACACGCAAACACAGTAACTTCTACTGTTTTCCTTTTCTCCGCAGCTCAAGGGACAGTCCAGGGTTGTGAGGATTCATGGAGGCCTTGTTTGAGTGCGTACAAATCTGCCAAACAGGTGAGATCTCAGGACTTATAACTGTGGTCTGGCGTTGAATTAAAGCTATAGGTTGAAAGACGGTGATCTAGACCTTTTGATAAATAATCGAATTATTCAATGTAAACACTACATTTATAGATGCACATTTTGAAAGGTGATAGTTGAAACCCTACTTTAAGGGACGGAAAAATTGTAAGGATGCTGGGATGGCAACAGTGATGAGGTTCCAAATGCAGCGTATTTATTATAAAGAATGGTGAGAAGGCAGGGTACCCCATAAAACAAGACTCAGCACTGGATGCCCACAGCTAGCTCTTTACAACTCTCACATGGTCACCCAGTTAGTATCTGGATCAAGTGTGCCGCAAGCCTACGTTTGAGTGAAGGTTTCGGCCGTTAGATCGCCCCCTGGGGGCTGGCTGCAGTACAAGTCATAAAGCCCGCCTCCTCCGTGTTAATGAAGGAGACTTGAGCCCAAATAAAAAAAAATATTACACTTGCAATAAAATGTCCCAAAAGATAGTTCTGGTGGATTAAGGCACTGGTTATTGTGCTGAAATAGGTGCAGATCTTCATTTTTGTAAACAGTTTGTTTTTAGCAGTAATTTAATGCTGGGCGTGTCATCGTGATTGACAGCTGTGATTGACAGTTTCTCAAAGCAGCACGTCTGAGCTTCGGCAGGAGACTGAAGTAGACTGAAATGTTATTATTCGATTTCTGTGTTATTTTACCATGACAAAATGAGTTCAGCAGTAAACTATAGTTTCTGACATACATGATCCTGGTGGAACACTGTTTATTCGCTAAGGTCAGGGCTTTTTTCGGGCTTTATTAGTTTGCTGATACACGCCTAGCCACCCAGATAGCAAAACACAGTTCCGGCTAGATTCTCGCCTGCCGGAGACTTATCTCTTAGAGCTCAGACTGACTAACGTTACCTCTGCTGGACCTACTCCGGATGCCTGGACTCACTGCCCGATTCCAGTCCGAGTCAATCGAGCCAGATGCGGCGGCCGAGCGAGCAGGCGCTGCCGCATGTGAGCCGGAATCAGCCCGCGACGCCGCGAGTAGGTTATGCTCTGCGGCCTGGAGCTGGCGCGATTGAATATATAAAACCCTCATATTTGTTAACGTTATTACATCCATTTGTGTTGATATGACAGCAAACGCATGCTGAGCAGTTCGGGGGGCGTGGTTGATTTTACATAAAGCGTTTGGTTGGAAGCTCGACTCCGCTCATTATCGCGGCTCCTCCTCTGGCTCCATCAGACAGTCCTTCTGCGCATGTCTGGCTCCAATTTCAGCAGTCTTTTGCGACAGTTTGTGCCCGTCAAGCAGGCGTTTTGCCCTCAAGGCGTTCAATGGGAAAAAGGGCTGTCGCGTCGTCCATATTTTTTACAGTCATTGATCTGGATGGGAGACCACATGGGAAAGCTAGGTTGTTGGCAGAAGTGGTGTTAGTGAGGCCAGCAGGGGGCGCCCAACCTGCTGTCTGTGTGGGTCCTTATGCCCCAGTATAGTGATGGGGACTCTTTACTCAGTGGCGCCCCCAGAAAAATTTCTTAGGGGTGGCCAAGTAAGGCCACAACAAATCTTGGGGTGGCACACAAAAAATTATAAATTTTGTATATATTGTGAATGAAGAGTAATGTTTTATTTTTGTTTTTGGTAAAATAAATAATGAAGTTTTATTGAATTCCAATAATTACTCTTGAAATATCGTAATTTATTCCGCAAGTACAAGTGCAAACCAAATAAAAATCAATATTTAGTCTAAAACCTCTTTCAGGTAAGTTAATTCTTGTATAACATACAATATATGCCATGTCTAATATTAATGAAGATTAATGAATGAATTAATAAACCAAACAAATAAACAAACTGAACAAAGGCATTACTATGTACACACGCTTGCTATACAGACCCTAATATCATTTATCCATGCTCCTTTGTGAGCCACAATGATAAAACATATTCCTGTACCTATTTGCAAAATACACCCACAAAATCAATAAGATTTTTGGCCCTTTTAAGTCAACCAGCAAAATAATGTAGTTGCTAAGTAAACTAGATTTTGAAAAGCAGATTTCAAAATGCATCTGTAGCGTACAGTCCACAGATAAAATTACTTATTGATTTTATCATGGTCTGGCTTTCGTCGACAGGAGGGTTTTACGACTCCTGGCTCCAAAAAGTCTGGGTACCCCCGACAGACTTTATCTCTCCAGTGTCCCTGGATTACTGAGTCTGGAGCTTCAAAGACATTCCTGCCCAAATACACACACACACACACACACACACACACACACACACAAGGCTGTCCCGACAGAAAAAAAATGAACTCATCAAATCCTGAACCAGCACAAAACTAAAGTGTTATGTTTTGTAAACTTTGTATCTCATTTCTGACTTTTCTTACCTGTGTAACCTCTCTTATAACCTGTATGCATGTTCCCTTTAGGCCTTTGTAAAGCATAAATATTGTAAGGATATGAAAAATTATGTTGATGTACTTTTAAACCCCCCCATGTTTGGTACCGATGGGTTTCTGCTGACATCTTACAACACATGATGCGTAGATCGAGACCATAACTCGCATTGCTTTATTCTTTAAAGCCCTGTATTAAATGCCTGTCCGCATGCTTTAGGCGGACACTCAAATTTGCATACGAGCAGCCTCGAGACAAAGGAAGGTTCGCGCGCAAACTTTCCCCCGAAATCATTGGTCAGAATGCTGTACGGGTTGTCACGTGACCCGCAGGTATAAGCAGACTTTCCCGACAAACATCTGGGCAGAAAGAGAAGGTCCTAACAAAGAACCCATCAAACGTGGTCCCTTTAAGGGCCACGTGGCTTTCTAAGCCGCATGGACTTTTTCCCGTAACGCTTTCTTTATTTTCCGGCAAAGTAAACTCAGTTTAAAGTTTGCGATCGTGTTCGTCCGAACTGCATTACAAACTCCACGCATCAAGAAGGACATCAAAACGAGTTTTCATCACGACGGAAAAGAGACTCTCATAAGAGGGACCTCCACACATGAAGGTGATTTTAGTTATGCGAATAAGCTGTGCCCCTTTTAGCAAAAAAGTTGTTTTTTTTTTTGGATAATCTTGGTGGTCCTTAATGGTGCGTGTGGAACTGAAAGTTTTGTCACTCTTTTATCTGAAGCCTCTATTTCCTAGCTTTACTATTTCTCTTTGTTGTTACACGTTCTATAGACCCGATGTCTCCACGTGGTTTCCCTTTTTGTTCTGTGTTTAATGTTTGTTTGTTCGTTATTCGTCTGACTAGTCAATAAATTCCATTATAATCAAATGATTTGTATTGTTTGCCTCACGAGAAAATGTCACTGTAATACAGATTCCCCTGCCTAGCTATTATAAGTTATTTAATACTTTTGAATGATTAATCTACTTCACAAGAAGTAGCAATTAAATTCCCTTTTTCTAAATGAATAGATTACCGTGTCCGCTCGGAAGAGCGGCGGCTCTGCTTGTGTTTGTTTGGTCAAATTAACAATAAATTGATCCGGAATATTAATGATTAATAATAATTCGTTATTGTTGATAATTAATATTCATAATCTGGGAATCCGCTCGGTCGCGCGAGCATGATCATATACAATCATATGCTTGTTTGACCAAATTGGCTGAAGCTTAAGCCGGAATATTAATAACTAAGAATAAACCGTTATTGTTGATTATTAATATTCATAAAATGAGCTAATTTCATGTTACAGCATCTATCTATTTATTTTGGATTTGCGGTTTTCATTCAGATAAAACACAACTTTTTCATTTCAAAAATAATAATTTCTTAATAAAAAGTGTGCAATCTCAGTGAATCAGCTTCGTGAGTGGCGCTGATCAATCCACAATAATTTAGTGGCTGCATTTTATTTATTCATTTATTTATTGAAGTATTGTGAATTTAAGTAAATACATTTAAATTAATAATATCAGCAACGATCATATTGGGGTGGCCACAGGGGTGGACAGAGTTTACACAAGGGTGGCGCCCCTGTCTATGTGTTAAACTGAGATGAGTGAGATGTTAAACTGAGGTCCTGACTCTCTGTGGTTGTTAAAAAATCCCAGTATGTCCTTATATCCTATAAAATAGTAGGGGTTTAACCCCTGGCATCCTGGCCAAATTTGCCCACTGGCCTCTGCCTATCATGGTCTCCTAACTCTCCCCATATTGGCTTCATCACTCTGTCTCCTCTCCACCAATCAGCTGGTGTGTGCTCTGGTGAAATATGGCTGCTATATATACCCCCCCCCCTCCCAAACAATGTGTAAAGTGCTTTGAGTGTCCAAAAAAGTGCTATATAAATGTAAGAATCATTATTATAAGTGAGTTTATGGTGTCTATATAGTCCATGTAATCAGTGATGATGGACTGCAGCTGTGTGTGTGTAATTAAGGGTTGATCTGGAACTGGTGTGTGGGTGGAGTGGATGATGGCGTATGTAGTTTAGTACGTAGTTATGTAGTTTCTCCAGTGATCCATGAAAGCTACGTCACTGGTGATCATAACAGAAATGACCTGAAGATTTTTTTTGAAGTCTCTTTATTTCAAGAGAAATGCCCGAAAACGTTCACATGCCTTGGTATTGTTTTTGCTACCTTATTAAGACCCTTATTTGTCTATTCGTTTTCTTTTTTATTTAACTTGTTTTCCCTTTTCTCATTTTTTTGTTCCTATTGTTGAACTTTGTAACCTCACTAACATATTTATCTGTTTGTTGAATATAGGGTTTGTACTTGCGTTATTAAAAAATATTAATAAATAAAGGAGAGATTACAGGGGAATAACTAAAAACATGGCTAGGAGCGCTACATGTTGTTGTTTAAGTTTGTTTGCGTGAACAGGAAGTTGCTGAGACTTTTATTTCAGAATGTTGATGTACTTCCAACTGAAGTGGAATATTGAGTAGGGGTGGGGCTTTCTCTTTGCATCATGGTAAGATGGGCGTGGTTAAGAATATTGTGGCTAAAGCATCAACAAAGAAGGAGCCAATCCAAGTGCAGTAGCAATTGTTTAGACCAGGGGTCACCAATCTCGTTCCTGGAGGGCCGGTGTCCCTGCAGGGTTTAGCTCCAACTTGCTACAACACACCTACCTGGGTGTTTCAAGTATACCTAGTAAGAGCTTGATTAGAATAAGAGTGTTTGATTAGGGTTGGAGGTAAAACCTGCAGGACACCGGCCCTCCAGGAACAAGTTTGGTGACCACTGGTTTAGACCTTGACTGAAAATTAATGAAACTTTCTTAAAGTCCCCAAGAAATCAACACTCACCATATTGATTTTGTTAGCTCACACTGCTAGTTTTGTGCTGTTCAATTCTTCTGTGCATGTCATCAAGAACAAAAATAGTTTGCCCTTCTAATCTTTAACTGCAATCTAATAATGCACTTCTTGTTTTTTTTCTGTTACTTTGTCAGATTATGAATGTTTTAGGAATTGGGCGGGGCTAACACACTTAACCACGCCCCTCCAGCTGTCAGTTTTGACAACAAGCAGAAATGGTGAGGAGGAGGAGGAGTCTGTTAGGTTGTAATAACTCTCCACAAACCCTTTTCACCATCTTTCTGAATGAAACGCCTACTTCACTAGATCCTATCAGCTCGCAGTAGAAAAAACAAGCCACGCCCACTGTTGTATCGTTTAATATAGTTTCTCTAGAAACTGCATCACAGTACGAAACAATAACAGTCGCATCTTCCGGTTCATGTGGACTTTAAACTGGATTATCTTGCACAGATGAATTATTCACCTTAAGAATAACAATGTGTGCTAGCAAAATAAACATTTCACATTTTGATTTCACACACTTGCATTGTCCAGGTGGATCATGCTTCCATTCCGGAGGAGCTTAGAGCAAGTGACTTAATCAGGGAGTGTAACGGACAGAAGTTCCAGGTGTCCCGCCTCCTCCTGCATCTAAACTCCGCCCTCGGCCCCGCCTCTGACGTGCTGCTGGACCCATACCTGCTCTGCTGGGAGGAGCTGATCAAGTAGGAAATCTAAAGAAATGGTTCTTCTTTTTATTTTCTTTCAAAAGTCACAAAATCAACATTTACAGGGCTGTTTCTCATGCGCTGTTTAGCGATCTCGCGTCCTCGTATTCTCATGTAACATCATCATCAACTGCTACAGTTCTGTTCCAATACTCAAGACCACAATAACTGAGGACGTGTGAAACTTCCCGGATGTGTTCTTGATATCGAGGACGCACCCATGCAGACTTGAGCTGTTTCTCAATTCCAAGAACGCAGAGAACGCACTTGCATTCTTGTGAAGACCGATCTTGCTAGCTCGAAAGAACGAACTCCGGAGACCGCAAGAACAGAGAATGCGTCCTGTAAGAAATGAGATGCTGCGTTCTTCGTGATGGTCACATGACCTTCATGCGTTTTAAATGAAAATTATTTAAACATTACAGCATTCATACAACGATTTATTGTTTTTCCCCTTTCCAAAATATGTACTCTGCATAAAGATCTTACAAATATACTCTGCACAATATAAATAGCACAGATTTTAATATGAATTTCAGCAAATAAACACCCTTAATGTGTTTAAGTCTTTATTACGATGTCCATGGTAGTTCACCGTTTCATTTAGGGAAACTCCTGAGATAAATAAGGTATACCTCAGAACTTTAATAATAAATCTATACAAAATGCTGCGCTTCCCACCTCCAGTCGCAATGACTTCTGGGACTTCTCAAGCGAGTTCGGTGCTTAAGTCTGCATTGATGCGTCCTCAATATCAAGAACACATCTGGAAAGCTTTATGCGTCCTCTGTTCTTGCGGTCTTGAGTATTGGAAGTGATGATGACGTTCCACGAGAACACGAGGAGGGAAGATCGCTGAAGAACGCAAATTGAGAAACAAACCGGAGGACTGAACTCACTCTAGAAGTCCCAGGAGCCTTTTTTTATTGTATGCGAGTGCCATAAAGGCATTAAAGTTTGACATTTGTACCGTAAAATCAATCTGTAGCACCTAACGCAATTGCTGTGATTTTTATTTAGCATAATAACCCCAGGGGTCGCAATCCAATGGAAAAAAAAAAGGCTGATGACTTTTTATTTGCATGTGTTTTTATTAAATATTAAGTATATATTGGATATATTATAAGTTTAAAAATAATTAGCCCTATTTTTTATATTCTGCAAGTTATGGATAAAATATGATAGTTCTAATAGTTTAATTTAATTATATAAAAATATATAAATTATTTATTTACTAAAAATATATTATTAGTGAGACGTCTACTTTAGCCAATCAGAACAGTCAGACGCATTCACGTCCGCGTTGTTTATGAGAATAAAAGCCCTTGAATATTTTTCCAGACACATTTGACGGCTCGATGTTAGTCAGATATTGTTTCTATGTTCATCTTAACGCCAATGGTGTAAGTAATTATCGATAGGATGCTTATGATAAGCTGTTGTTTGTTTACCTTCAAGCTCTGCTTCCTTCAGTTGCTTGACGCGTCGCGTGTGCCAGAGAAACAGCCCGTGAGCGCCAGCACACACACATATCAATGACATCTCGACATTCGAAAGTGTTCCCCTTATATCTTCATCGATGTTGTTCACAATACTGATCATCCACAGAGTTTGTAATGTAGTCAAATGTTTACGAACACAAGCGCAGCTGTTTAGAGCTCATTTCTGGTTAATGATGTCAGAGTTTACTATTATTTTGCAATGGGTGTGTGAACAGCGCTTTTATGAATTTACCGATAAATTCCGGTAATTTCCCGGAAAGGTCTGTATGTGTGAAAGGGGCAAAGGTGGGCAAACTATAGCCTGCGGGTCATATGCAACCCGCTGAACACTTTCATCCGGCCTGCAAGGGAGTTTTTAAAATGCTGCTTCAGAGTAACGGTTGGTTCAGAATTAGTAATGATGCAATACAAGTGAACGCCATGTGATGGCAGCATTGCACGTGGTAAAGTTAGCGCAACCAGTAGAATTAGAACACACTCTTGGATATTAAAATGCACTCGACCATTACTCACTGAAAAAATTAGTAAGGCAGTTTAAGGAAGAATCGACAACAAAATACTTCTTCACCAATATCGGACAGAAAGCAGGAGGTCTAATATGGCAAGAAAGTATTGCTACAAGACTCCAACCTAAGGGGCCGATCACACCGAACGTGCTATGTGTTGAGAGGTTTACTACTGGCCGCGAGGGTTTTGCGCACTGCTTATGTGCCCTACGCGCCTCACGTCTTCCCTGCCTGCTGCGCCTCACATTTTTGCCATAGCAGACTCCAGACTTTGACACCCTTGCGAAGAGAGGGGAGCAGGCTCATTGTTCACATTAACACACTCATAATAACATGACCTGGAATAACAAAGACTAAGATTCTTCTTCAGTTTTATCATAGTTTTATGGTTGATATGAGCATATTAATACAAGCTCAAATGAGATTGTTGTGAATTTGACTCAAATTCTATAATAGTTGCTGGTTAAATGTGTAAATTTATGTCATAGAATATATTTGGCATGCACACATCCACTTTAAAAATGTCTTTATCAAAGATTTGTGGTTTTATCGAGTGTTATGATGACTGATCTGTATATTCTAAAAGCAGTGCACATTAGGTTATTGTAAATTTGACTGAATAGTAAACTTTAGGAATTATTTTTATTGTTTTAATATGAGATTTTTTTCTATTAGACAGTATCTTTTCTATTCTCCACTGTAAAAATTATTACATTAATATTATTAGTATTTTTATTTATATTATTATATTTTATACGGGATTATTTTATTGTTTTTTGATGAATAATAAGTAAATATAAATAAAAGTTATTTTTTGAAGGATTTGACTTGTGGCCTTCACTTGGTTTGCAAAACTTGGCCCTCGGTTCTAAAAAGTTTGCCCACACCTGGGCTAAAGTCTTGCAAACCCCCAGGGGGACCCGACCCCCACTTTGAGAACCACTGCTATAAGGAAACAAAAATGCTTCATCTTTGGCATCACTGTAAAACGGGTATACACCAAGCGGCAACCTCCCGCTCTCCCTCGGGAGGCCAATACGGAAGTTACTGAAACTGCAATTCATCGAAATTCCGCTAGTCCTGGCTCCATAATAAAGCAAAGTTTAATTGAGCGCACTGTTAGAATGGCCAACTTTACAGCAGAAAAAAAGGTGTTTACAGCCTGCTACAAAGAAAGATTTTTATTAATACAGCTAATATTACTCTTCATGACAACTGTGAGGGGGTGAATATTTTTATAACTCATCCGTTTCCTTTATATTAAGTTATATTAAGTTTGCATAATTAAGGGCGTGGCCACTTGATTGACAGTTAGGTCTCGTTGGTCGCCGTCACGTCACCTCAGCTGAATCCTGCAGATTAGCCACTGAACTCGGCATATTTATCGTATTTCTGTGTTGTTTTATGTGGCTTTACACAGTCAACTGCCTTTTGGACTTGTTTCCCACAATTATTAGATGGCATGGCATGCTGAGTGCACTTAATTGTGCTCACAAACCATTCACGTGGCCTCCGTTTCCCATGTGAGTAAAGTTATATACTTATATACCATCTCTATACATGTATTTGTTTTATTTAAGATCATTTATCGTTTATATTTATATTTAGAGCTGTAATGCACTTCAGAATCTGACAGGTTGTTTAGCTGCAGGCTCTAGAACAGTCATCTGAAGTGTTGTCATACGCTGGATTTCATCAATAGTCCTGCATTAACTAACACAGACTATATGTGAAGTGTTTGGAAGTAATTCGCGTTTTTCTCCTGTAGGAAAACGTCATAAGAACAATGTTTAGTGGCTCAGTTTATTACAGCAGTGTTTTTAAAAGTCTAAACACTTTATTGATATAGTGTACAACCAAGCACAAGTGGTCAGAACACAAACGAGTCGCAGGTGATAAAGTATTGAGCGTTATCCCAAAGTAAAGTGTTTCTGAACCAGGTCCAAGCAAACAGCCAGCAGGTGTCTGTAGCTCCGCCCACTCTCCGCCTCTTTGCCCTTGTTTGGTGTCCCGCCGTGGGTGTGATGACGCGCGAGCAAAATGGCGACGGTTGGCCGCGCCTACTTGTGGCTTCTTTTGCGCTCTTCAGAAACCTATGGGTGACATCAAGAACACTCCGTCCATATATTTTACAGTCTATGGTATAAACACAAACAAAAACATTAATAATTAAAATAATTACCAAAAAATTACAACTAAATAACAAAAAACAGCACGGAGCAAAGTGCTCTGAATCAGACATGTTGATGAATGTGGAACTGTGCTTGTGGTGTGATGTTGTGTCCTGTGCTGCAGGTTCATGGAGGCTCTGGGTCCTCTGGTGGGATTTTTCACTCATAAAGTTGAAGAGAAGATCGCGCTCATCCGACAGCTCTCACTGGAGGAATCCACCAGACACAGTGTTACCGCTAGCAACAGTATGATGTATGGTGCTCAGCATGAAGCCCCGCCCCCTGGCCACGCCTACCATTCTGTGCATTCGATGCTGGAGGCGGAGCTGCAGAGGGGCGTGGTCTCCTTTGACCAACAGACGCCCTCTGGGAGTCGGACGTTGCTCCGCCTTCATCGTTCATTGCTGTGGTTACAGCTGCTGCTGGAGAAACTGGGGACTGAGCGTGAGGGGCGGAGCTTCGGTGAGCTGTGTCGCGAGGCCTACCTGGAGGTTCTGGCTCCTCATCATCCCTGGCTGGTGCAGCGCGCCGCTGAACTGGTGTTTCACGCAATGCCCGACCGGAGCGTCTTCCTGCAGCTGGTGTGCGTGCGGACACAGGAAGAGGCGGAGCCTGTGATGCGCATTGTTGTTGCAGCGATCCGAGAAATTCACCAAAGGACACAGAGAGAGCTGGAGATCAGAAACATGCTGGACCTGCCTTAAAGGGGCAGTTCACACAAATATTTAAATACGCTGTTTATCTCATCACCCTCTGCCACTGTAAAAAAAAAATCTGTAATTTTTCGGTTTATTTCTGGCAGCTAGGGTACCGGGAAAAAAATGAAAATAACAGCTGTTAAATTACAGAAACATAGTGTAAAATAATGGATATTAAATTACAGAATTTTGCTTAAATTAAAATTTCTGGTAAATTTCGATGATTTAATATCCGTTATTTTACAGTAAATTTCTGTAATTTAACGGTTGTTATTTTACGTTTATTTTCGGCACTCTAGCTGCTGGAAATAAACCATAAAATTACGGATAGATGACTTTATATCTTCAGTATGGGCCTGAAGATGGCATACAGAATGTTTTTTTCTCTCCAACAAGTTATTTTTCCATGGTTTTTCAATGTAAACACTTGCTTGTTGGATGTGTGTGACCGTTACTCTCGCATCTCACATATTTTGAAGCGCTGTGTTTTTTTGGACACTGTGTCAAGTTGAAAGATCTTCAACATTCCTGTGCAGTTCATCACTGTCAGTCCCAAAGCAGTGGACCAATCAGAAGGTGTTGGAGGCGGGGCCATACCTGTCAACCCTCCCGTTTTTCCCGGGATTCTCCCGTATTTTACAGTTCTATCCCGCTATCATCCTGTAAAGGTATTTTCCCATATTTCTTCCGTAATTTCAATCTTTCCATGAAGGGTCGCACAACCCATACCACCGAACCACCAGGGGCCACCCCTTGCTCTAAAATGTGAATCTGTACTTTCGTTTTATTTAGACATGAAAACACTTTGAAATAAAAAATAAAAACGGCAGGATTCCCTTCCTTTTCCTTACAGGTGGCATCCCCCCTCCTATACAATCCTCAAAATAGTCATATAGCAGTGCGTGACTGTCAGCTGACGCGCTCTATAGTGATAAACAAACCAAACGGATTCTGCACAAGCAATTTGAAGCACAGCGAAAGTCGGTTTTGGGTGCGTGTTTGAACAGACATATATACACATAATTAATAATAATATCTGAAGATGTTGATCTTGGTGGGTGTTTTTTTTTTTTAAACAAGTAATTTTGTCCTAAATCAGCACAAAAAGTTAAAGCAATCGAATGCTTTCATTATAGCGTTAGATGAGTGCATTTTTAAAGTGGCACACCTGTTATTCAATGTAATCAAACAAAAAAATGTAAATGAGAGAATCATTCACTGCACTTTAATCAGAATGTGCAAGTTATACAGTGAAGAAACCATTGAGATTTGATAGCTTGATTCTATTTCTTTATAATAGCTATTACTTTAAAAAGCTGAACTGTGTGTGTGGATGTTTCCCAGGGATGGGTTGCGGTTGGAAGGGTATCCGCTGTGTGAAACGTGCTGGATGAGTTGGCGGTTCATTCCGCTGTGGCGACCCCAGATTAATAAAGGAACTAAGCCAAAAAAAAAAGAATGTTTGCTAATGTATTTGCTGCTAGTGTATACTATTTTTTTTTCTTTTGTAAATAATAATAAAATATTACTGTCCATTTAACTGGTTACAATGAAACAGCTCCAGATTAATATATTTTGTTATTTAGGTTTATTTTGGGGGGGCGCTGCACTTTTTAAAACTTATTTCTGAGTGCTGTGGCAAGCACTTTTAAAACCAAAAGCGCATTCAGTGTGACTGAACCCTAACTAGTGTTATTTGCACGTCTTATGTTTTGAATTAGTGGTTTTCAGTCAACAAATTAATTACCATTAAATCCCAATGAATGACATGGCTTCATTATGATCGCCCTCTAGTGGCGAATCACTGAACAGCTTTCACAATTTATACCTGATCTCAGATCAGTTTTACAAGTTTGTAGGCATTTTACTGAGACATTTGAATAATGAAAAAGAATAATAGTTAATAATAGTCTCTTCTTATCCTGTTTAGCAGAGCCCACAATTGAACAATATATAACATTGGACATTTTTTAAAGAACACATATCAGACAGATGCTTAATGTTTATTATATATATATATATATATATATATATATATATATATATATATATATATATATATATATATATATATATATATATATTTATTTATTTATTTATTTATTTTATGTCAGCTTAGTAGCTAATTTACCAGGGGTCGCCACAGCCTAATGAACCGCCAACTACCTATACATCTCTCATTCACACACACTCACTTAAGCAGGTAGCACACCGGAAGTGCCGCGACATGGTGCGCACATGACAGTTAAAAGTATCGCACACCAGGCGCACATTCGCATGCTATTTGAAATGAAGCTATTCAGATGGCGCTCTGTGGCGCGGCAGAAATATGAACAGTGTCTTAAGTCGTGGCTGGGCGCTGTGTACAGCCGCAGAGTAGCGGCGCTGGTGTGTGTACCCTTGTAGAAATCTATGTTTTGAATTCTAAAAATGAATGCTGCGTTTCCGAGCGCCGCTTGTGGTATTGGACCCCCTTTAAACACTACAGCCATTTAAGCCCATGTCAACAGTGGGAGAACATGCAATATAGATGTAAGCTAAGTGCATATTTAGGCTATACTTTAAAGTTAAATAAAGTTCACAATATTTGAAAAAGTCCATTCTATTGCATGTTTTGCCTGAGTTTTTTGTTGCATTTACAAAGTTTTGACCAGTAGGTGTCGCTATCACTTGCTGTTTACAACACTTTGAACATCTTTTGTGCATTTATTTCTCTCTTCTGCCTGATTTAACAACTCTAGCAGTAATTATCATGATTAGCTCATTCTGGCAGTTCGACAATTAGCACATTGAGACATTACAATGATTGATCATTTACATCAGCAAAATATGAGAGATTTGTTCAGTTTTTTTAATTAATTATTTTTATTGGTTTCATTAGGTTATCAACAGATTGCAGAAACTTGGAACATTAGAAAAAATTGAGATGTTGTTACAATCTGCATAATACAATTTAGAGAATTAAAAAAGAAAGAAAAACAAAAAATTAAAAACATTTAAATATAAAATATAAAACAAACCAGAGGGAAAATTATATAAGGTTAGACATTAAAAGCCATTCTTGTTGTTTTTTATGCCCACTAAAGGTAAAATACATGACTTATAGTCAATAAAAAAATTGAATTGAACCAGAATTGGATTTTTTTCCTCAAAAATGTACACTTATAATAAAAAGATTAACTATGTACTGGATGCAAGATATAGAGTTGTAAAAAATAATGTCAAAAGTATTTTAACAAATATCAACGTTTGTCTTTTCTAAGAGAAAGATGCATATTTCTGTTCAAAATAACTTCACACAAGAACATTCACAGCAAAGATAAACAATGGATTCTTCCGTCACCAAACGTTAGTTTTCAATATCTATCATATATTTACTAAGTAAGATATTAAAGGATAACATATATGCAGTATTTTATATGTAATTTCTTTCACTTTGTTAGTTAGCAAATAATTATGTGGAAGAATCCAAGTAGCGTATGTGGCCTGCCATTTAAAGGTGGAAGTTCATTGGCGTTGTTTACATTCCGCTCTTCAATATGGCCGACTTTGTCTTTAAACGTAAACGGAGAATTTGAACCGGAAGTCTCGTCCTTTCACGAAAACGGCTCACCTGCGTGTTGTAAGATGAGGTGAGTAGTATTTGTCTTGTTTCTAACTTTGTGGTCAGGTTTGTTTTTCACATTTTACATGTTATTTTTAAACTGTGAGAGGCAGTGCCTTATATAGTGTTGCTATGCGGTTGCTGGGAGTTTCGCGCTGTATATTCAAAGCATTTTCTGTGAGTTCTGGTCCAGCAGGAGGAAATGATTATCTCATTTATTCACCAGGTGTCGCTGTTTCGCTGTGTGTTTAGAATCGTGAGGGGTGCCCAAACATTTTCTTATGAAGGGCCAAAAACTAAACTTGATTGAGGATGTTGGGCTAAAGGTAAATATACTGAACTGTATTACATTAAAGTTGCCATGATAATTTCCTAATATTATTATATTTGAATAAAAAGGACAGCACGGTGGCACACTGGGTAGCACAATCGCCTCACAGCAAGAAGGTTTGAATCTCGGCTGGGTCAGTTGGTGTTTCTGTGTGGAGTTTGCATGTTCTCCCCCTGTTGGCGTGGGTTTCCTCCGAATGCTCCGGTTTCCTGGTCCAGTTACCTGCAGCAGTTTACTTTTTAAACTTTTGACTGTAGTTTGGATTAATGAAGTTTAATTTCATCACAGCGTGATTAATCCCCTTGCTAAATGTTTTACTAAAATAAATAAGTGTTTTGTTTAAGTCTTAGATGTAATTTCCAATTAAATAAAACTAATTAAAATTGAAATTAAAGTGTCCCCTCAACCCTGTTACGGACTTCAACCCCGTCACTGTATTGGCAACTGAATCAAATTAACACTTTTTGGGAAAATAAAATAAGAAAAACAATTAAATATAAAAAAATTCTTGCTCAGTAGCAACCACCATGTTAAGGCCTAACATTGTAAATATGTGATTGGGGTAAATTTAAAACCTTATACTACAGTATTGGGTCATTTGTTTGTAATAGGCTGCATAGTTGTTGTATTACAATATTACCTCAACATAATAATTCAAGTATGATTCCAAAACTACAGTATTTACTATGAATTATAATTTATAATTCATTATTATTATTATAGTGACATTCAATATTTGTTGTATTTTAGAATAAATGCAAAATAGGTATGATTAGATCACTAGTAGTTATACAGTAAGAGTGCTGTAAAATTAATAAATATAGCAGCTCAAAATCTCTTAGGAAATCTACGCATGTTTTACACTGTTGAAATCTCTTTTTCCTCAATCTGAACAGCAGGAGTAAAAGTCAGATCGGTCTGCTTTTAAATCTCAGCTGCTGTGTCAGAGGCAGTACATGTGCCACAGGTCTGATAGTGATGACCAGAAGGGAACGCAAAGACGAAAATGGCAAAACAAACAGGGTTATCAGATAACACTTCCCATGTTTTCTGTGACTGATGTCAAAGGTTGCATTCCTAATCAAACCACACAGTAGGCGCAAATTCAATCGATATTTAGCAGCCAAAGCTGTTCATTATCCTGATCTTTACATACTGTAGTTCATCATGATATTCAAAGACAGTGTTTTGATGTGTACAGTACAATACAGATTTACTTGATTCTAATGCACAATGAAAGCTTTAGATCTGGAATCACAGCAGACAGATTACGCTACAATCTCATTACATAAGATGATGAAGCTCTCAGTTTGTGCATTAATTTTTTTGTCTTTTAAAGAGTACATGCATTGTCAGCTGTGGTGACTTTCGCTTGTTTCTGCTTTTGTATTTGATGAAGTCTGGTGGCGTTCTGTTTAAAAAAGGAGGGCATCAATTCAGACATGGGGCAGCGTGGTTACTACTGTCACCTCAGAGCAAGAAGGTTGCTGAGTCCCGGCTGGGCCAGATGACGTTTCTGTGTGGAGTTTGCATGTTCTCCCTGTGTTGGCATGGGTTTCTTCTGTGTGCTCCGGTTTCAAACAAAAACACTATAGGGGAACTGAATAAGCAAAATTGGCTGTAGTGTATTAGTGTGTGGGTGTGTGATTGAGTGTGTATGGGTGCGCTAAATTGCAGCTAGAAGGACATTTGCTGCGTGTATGCTGGAAAAGTTGGTGGTTCATTCCGCTGTGGTAACCCCTGATGAATAAAGAGACTAAGCTGAACGAAAATGAATGAAAGTTATTTTGACAATTTGTCATTTTCTGACCCAAAGCAAAGAGCATACAATCACCAAGAGGCGACACTCTAGTGCGATTTGGGAAACAGCCACTAGAGGGCGCGGCAGACATTTAAGAATGAAAACTCCAATGGAAAAGCAGCATATTATAAGTCTGTAAAATAAACTATTAAAAGTGTTGATGATTGTGATAGTAAGTGTTGTATTGTCGTCTTCCAGGTTGTATGCCAGCTTTTTTTTTTTTTTTTATAATATTTTTTTAGGGGTTTACACCTTTATTGATAGGACAGTGGAGATATAGAGACAGGAAAGTGTGGGGAGCAGAGATAGGGGAAGGATCAGCAAAGGACCTCGAGACAGGATTCGAACTCGGGTCGCTGCGAGCACCTCGGTGCTATGTGTCGATGCACTAACCACTAGGCTATTGGCACCGACTGTATGCCAGCTTTAATGCACTTTTTAAATAAATACAAATAAAACAAAGCAGCTGCTTGCCATCTCGACATCAATAAAATCCCATGGACAGCCGATCGCTTTCACTTCCAAATGGCGGAATCCGGGCTGTTGCTGGGTGCTGCTGTTGCAATGTAACATTCTATTGAGTGTCGCCTCTTGCTCATTCTAAGCTCTTTGTCAAAAAGCAATAAAGCTCTAAATCACAATATTTGTATTTGAAATTTGGAAGAAATATTATCTATATAGCTAGCTTTACAGAATAATGCAAATGTAAAAATTGTACTTAACCAATGCACTCAAAAAATGGTAGGTTGTATTAACGCTGGCTCAAATGTGGTCAGACAGAATATTGGGTTAATTTATTTCTACATAACAAGTTCACTTTAACCGTTAACTGTTGTGTTTGCCAAAATTTGACGAAGCATTAGGTTAAAGCAACCCATCAGTTTTTAATGAAATAATAAAAATAAAAATGTATTAAATTAATTTTAAACATCACAGTTAAAAATACAGTAAAATTCGTGCAAGCCTGACATTTTTATGGTCAACTAATGTATTTATTTAATTTATGGTCTTATAAATGCACCGATATTTTGAATCACTAACATTTACGCATACGTTTTGCTATATACCAGTTTACGGTTGTTTCTTGTGACATTTTTACTGTTGTTTTACTGTTAAAATCACAGTTATTTAAAAATATATATTGGAATAAGAATAATAAATATTAAATTGAACCCAATGTTAACATAACATATTATATCCAATATTTACATAACATAATATATATATATATATATATATATATATATATATATATATATATATGTATATATATATATATATATATATATATATATATATATTTATGTATACTGTTGCAATCAGAATGATCCCCCCCCCCCCCCATTATAATAATATTTAAAAATAAAAATAAAAAATTATCTTTTTTAAATATTTCCCAAATGCCATTTAACAGAGTAAGGAAATTTTCACATTATTTCTGATAATATTTGTTCTTCTGGAGAAAGTCTTATTTGTATAATTTCGGCTAGAATAAAAGCAGTTTTTAATTTTTTAAACACCATTTAATGCTCAGTATTATTAGCCCCTTTAAGCTATATCTTTTGATAGTGTTCCGAATAAAGTTTATTTTTTTATTGCGCAACGCATGTGTTTTTTTTTTTTTTTTGTCCCGCCTTGTTTTTTTGTTATCCCATAGGCTCCTATTCCGGCGTGATTCGTGCTTTGATTGGCTGCTGGTCTCGGAGGCCTATATAAAAAGTAGCTTCAAGCAGGGTCGGGGACTCTGGGAGCTCATTTGTGCTGCGACGGTTGCTGGGAGTGGAGCTCCTGGATTTCCCTTACCCCTCCAGCCGACAACCAACATTCAATCTTGTTACCATTGCTCATACATTCAACTGCTTTTGAGAGTTTGAGCTTGTAGGGGTGGCTTGCCTATTTATTTGATTACTTATGACTGTGTTTATGTTTAGGGAGAAATGTAAGCTTCCTGTATTTTTCTTTAAATATAATTTAGTTCATTTACTTTATAGAGTATTCTGTTTGTTGTTTTGGCCTGTGGCCACCCTGAAGAGATGCCCATTTATATTTACTACTTTTCTATAATAAATCTATTCAATTACTCTCAACTGAGTGTCTGAGTTTGGATGTCGACCGAAGTGGATCTTTTGCATTAAGTTTATTTTTTTTTGCTTTGTTTGGGAAATCCACCACCCCAACACATTTGTTTTTTCCGTTTATTATGCCCATGTTGTTTTCTCCTAGACCTGGGGTGTAATAGGGTATATGCCAAAGCATGCTAATGGGACTTTTAATTTGCCAGTAACCTGGGTTAAGTGCTTCCGGCGAACTATGCCAATGCAAAAACCTGCGCGTTTAAGGTCTGTTTTCTTTAAAAATCAGCGAGTAAACGGCTTTTTGTCTCGTTTTACGCTTGAGCAACTAAATGAATGCCAAAGTCTATTTAATTGAATGTTTTTTAATGACATTACAACATCGATGCTGTAAAAGGAACCATATAAAATGGAAAAAAACTCACAATAACAGGTCACCGGAAGTTTATCAGTATGGGAAAAACACTAGCTCGGCATATACCCTATAGATGGTCTACTGCAGGGGTTTCCAAACTTTTCAGCTCGCGACCCCCAAAATGACAATGCCAGTGACTTGTGACCCCCAATATCCTCTGAGGTGGTTATAAATACAGAGACCTTGCATGCAATGGCGCACACACAGCAATAGACCCAAGTCTGTTCTTCGTTTAATTTTTTAACGTATGTCAGTGCTGTAAATGGGCCAGAAAGTCATCTGACGCTATTGCTGTGTCTTATCCAATAGAACAATAAGCTACTATAGTAACTATAAACGACTATTTTTCCTCTTCAGTAGGTTGTGAATAAAATATGGTAAATCTTATGGTTCAATAAAAATAAATAGATTTTTGGGGGTCCCGACCCCCACTTTGAGAACCACTGGTCTACTGAACAAACCATCGTTATACAATAACTTGCCTAATTACCCTGCCTAGTTAACCTAATGACCCTTTAAATGTCACTTTAAGCTGTATAGAAGTGTCTTGTAGTGAAATATTATTTATTGTCATCATGGCAAAGCTGAAAAAAAACTTAGTAGAAATGAGTTCTTAAAACTATTATGTTAAGAAATGTGTTGAAAAAATCTCTGCGTTAAACAGAAATTGGGGAAATAAATAAACCGGGGGGCTAATAACTCTGGGTGTTGAGTATAATACATTATGTAAGCCTGTGGTCTCAATCTCAATTCCTGGAGGGCAGCAGTTCTGCATAGTTTAGCTTCAACCACCTCCAACTAACACCTGCTTAGTCTCTCGTAGTTTTGGACACCTTGGTTAGTTGCATCAGCTGTGTTTGATTAGGTTTGGAGCAAAACTGTGCAGAGCTGCAGCCCTCCTGGAATCCATTTTGATGTAAGCGATGGGTTCAATTAAACTTATACAACCAATTTAAATGGTAGTCGCTTCATTTAAATAATAAACCCAGAGTTTGGTCCATATTTGACCCCATTTGGGTTGAAAAAATCCAGCATAACCTATATTTCCTTCAATAATTTACATTTCGCTTACCTGTGGACATAAAAATAACAACGCAATCTCACGGCAATTCGTAAATTGTTGATTTAGTGATGAATTTGTACGATCTAATTCGTACAATTAATTATGATTTGCTCATCACCCAAGGGTGGTTGAGGTTAGGGGTGGGGTTGGGTCTCCCTACTTCTTTTTAAATTCGGATATTTTCGTACAACTGAACTCGTACGAATTAACCACAAAACTGACAAAACGTAAAATACTTACGTTTCCTCGTGATATCAGGCTGAAAAATAAATATAGTGTTTGTCCAATAGCTGTCATCAAAATACAACAACACAACAGAGTCAAACAAGACGACGCGTCGTTTGTTAAACACAAAATGTATTTATTTCCTGTTTTCAGTTTTCATTTATAATGATAATCATTTGTTTCTCGAATATAAGTTTCACAATTTTCATGTCAGGCAATATATAACAGTATATTCAGGATATTTAATAAGATACATCTAGTTTCTGAGCAGTGTTTTTACAGAGAGTGAAGAAAGAATAAGACGCCGTCTCACTATGACAGACAGATGAGAGACCGGGATAATGTTGGAATCATCCGGCGAACTCAAAAAAGTGACGAGCGGGTCGCGTTATTGGATTGGAGAGAAACACAGACGGGGACAAAGAGCTCACCGGTGCCGTCAGTGTGTGTGTGTCTGTGTGTGTGTGTGAGTGAGTTTGTGTGTGAAAGCTCTCGAATGAGGATTTAGTAGAGCAGGTGTGTTTGTCGTTGCCATTGTTTGTGAACGCGGGTGTTTGTCGCCAGGTGCCTTGTTGATGGTGTCAGATATGAAGCTGTGCGTCACGATAGACATTTGAAGGGCAAAACACGCCACATTCAAACCAATCAGCTTTTCGTTGTTCAGCGCGGGAAATTTGAGTGATCATTTAAAATCCGCACGCCTTTTATTCGCGAAGTTCAATCGTTATTTCTCCCGCCGAATTTCGCCGAGCTGTGGTAAATGCGATCTATTACACATATGCTATCGCACGCTGTTTCTCCAAGCTGATGATGTGCAACGGAAATGAACAAACCGTATGGAAAATGTGTGCGAATTACTTCCGTTGTGTGGTGATCGTGCGGAATACAAACTCTTGGCGCGGCGATGGTTTAATCGCCAGTCCATCTAAAAGTACAGAAGTCATAAAGAATGTGCAATAATTCGGTTTACCATATCTTAAAAACATATAAAATCTATCCCATGACATAGAGCGGTCAGGCAGCACACGTTAAGTAGATCTTAGTAAACATACGGCAGCGTCAGTTTAGCACATGGCTAATCTAGTTATTAGTCACTGCTCTGTGTAAACATTGAACTGATCTCAACATCAGGCCCGTAAGTTCTGTGCTGATGTGCGACGGATGAACTAATGCTAGGTTCGCAACCGAACTTGACGTAGTTTAATGCTTGAGGTCAATTATATGAACTTTGTTTGAAATTTATCACGCAAATATTTAATTCTGATTATAGTGCGAACCCAGCATTATGACGGTAATTGTAAAGTTTGGCCATAGTTGGCTCTTTTCTAACACACACCCTCCAATGTTTCAAACGCACAACACTGTGGCAGTAACAGCACATTCACAACAGGGGCGAAATGAAAGATTGTAAGAATTGAAACACAAAAAAATAGACAGGCCGTCTGTGCGTTATGGACGACAGGATAGTGGTTCGCTAAAAGCACTACGCTAATGAGCATCTCGCTAACCTGCTCGAAGCAGGTCATGTCCATTCGACTGGAACATCCCCTTGAACATCCAAATGTCAAATCACATGATTAAAAATCTAATAACCTACCAAAGCTAGGAAGAAACGAACTAAGGTTTTGACAAATATATGCAGCTAATGTTCACGTCATATTTCCGCTGTGCTAACGGGAGCTAAAGTGCGGCTAACCCATGATGTGCTCAACAACAAATGATAAAAAAAAACACTTCTTGGGAGGAAAAACACATTTTTTTCATTCATCTACATCAGTAAGTATTGAATTGGCAATTTTTATTTTATTTTATTTGAACTACTCTCTTCGTTAAACTACCCCCGATTCGGTATTATTTACAAGTATTAACAGTACACTCTCGGACCAGAAGGTATTGCTGTGTACACATTTAGATGGATCGAACCGTTCCGGACAATATGAAGCAAATACAATTTATAAGCCAATCGGGCAAATTCGAACGTAAAAGTTATGGCTGATATGGCGCAGCTTGAAGCTGATTGGCTAATGTGTCAGTCGTCGAGTGCAATCTGAGCATGTGCAGAACGTCAGCCAATCAATTCAGTTGTGTATGTGTGTGAGTGTGTGTGTGCACTCGTGAACATGTACTAATACAAAAGTGTTTTCACAAACGTTGCCATACAAAAAATGTAAATAAAAACCACAAATCAGATAATAAGTAAACGACAAACATCATAAACATACCTTAACAATTCATAAATAAATAAATAAATAAATAAATAGATGAATAAAACATCCTGATGCTTTGACAGATATGACTCGGTTACAGTAAGTTTTTTTTTTTACATATGCGACGATTTTTATGGCTCTATTTATTAATCAGCACTTTACGCTTTGCGTTTTTTCGTTCACATTTTGTTTATCATGAACGGCGTTGAGTGATATAGATTTGACTCTAATTTGTTTTATCTTTTCCCAAATAAAAGCCATTTCTTACTGAGTAAACCCAGGTTAAATTTTCCCTAAATATACGGAAAAGTGTAAGAAATTAAAATAAACATGATTCATATTTTAAAACTCTCACACGATTTTCATGACAACTAAGCGTAGAGATTGTCATAAAAACAATATGCAAGAAACGAAGATAATTTCTTGACGTGATTGTGGTCCCTTTGGAATGCACCGGATTGTTTTGTTGTTGTTGTGAGATTGTGATTATGTCAATATTGTTTGTCTAGAGATCTAGAAAGGCTCGTATTTTCGATACTCGTATTTTCTGCTCTCTGGATTTAACTTTGGAATGATATCAGCTGGGTATGACGACAGTCAAGAGTACTCGAAACACACAGAGATACAAAGACACACGCGCACACACGCACACAGAAATCAGTGTGTGATGAGGGGAAAATGGGGACGGACAAACACATTAAACACTCTGAGATATGAATGACACCTCCCACAATCTCCTGTGTGTGTGTGTGTGTGTGTGTGTGTGTGTGTAGTTGCTCAGTTGTTGACGCGCAGCTTAAAGGACACACGGCCGGCGAACTTGTCTCTCTCGCTGAACTCGGTGATGGTGTTAGAGTTGATCTTACACTCCACATTGACGTCTGTGTTAAAGGAGATGTTCATGAACTTCACCGCCACCAGAGGCTGGGAGTAATTCACCTGCATGCGCGCACACACACACACACACACACAGACAACGTTTATACATGTGCTTGAAAGTTCCTTTAAAGTACACAAAACTTTAAATCAAAACTAACCATGTTAATTTTGGGCCCCGCATCATCAATTTTTTTTATTTTTAAAGGCCCTTAATATGAAATGGGCACCCCTAGTCTAGTGATCGCTGATTGGCTCCTGCACTAGAAGGCGGGGCTTCATTCACCATATTGACACGACTTGTGTATTCTAGAGTTTTTGTTATAACACATATCATTGTTTGTTACTTCAAACAACCTCATGAGAATATTCTTTAGCTAACAAATATAAATTTAACATTTCGAAGCAATGACACTATGTTTCACAAACACTGTATATTGCCAATAATTTATTTAATTTCTGACTAATTTTACTGTTGAATTAAATTGATTAAAATTGAGAATAGAATACAATCTGCTTGTGACATGATTTATACAAAACTGTTGAATTTGTGTACAGTTTTTAAGGTAAGGACATTTATAAGTAACTGTAATTAAATTATGGAAAAATTTGCAGCACTGTGTGTGTGTGTGTGTGTGTGTGTGTGTGTGTGTGTGTGTGTGTGTGTGTGTGTGTGTGTGTGTGTGTGTGTGTGTGTGTGTGTGTGTGTGTGTGTGTGTGTGTGTGTGTGTGTGTGTGTGTGTGTGTTTGTGTGTGTGTTTGTGTGTGTGTGTGTGTGTGTGTGTGTGTGTGTGTGTGTGTGTGTGTGTGTGTGTGTGTGTGTGTGTGTGTGTGTGTGTTCTTGCCTGTGCCTTCATGCCGTAGTATGGATAGTACATGAGGTTAAAGGTTCCATTTGGAGGAAAGTATGCGATTTCACCAATGCTCTCCGCATCCTCTTTCTGTAATACAAACAATCAGATACAAAATATTAAACAATAGTTTGTACGTACAGTTAAAGACAAAATGATTCATCCTGCCGTGAATTTTCAATGGCTTTCAAATATTTGCCAAGTGCCGTTTAACAGCGAGATCTCAATTTTAAATATAATAGTTTTAATAATATCTAATAACTAATTTATTTTATCTTCATCATAATTACACTGTAATATGTTAAATAATTTAAATATTTAAAATGCTTTACTTTTATTTTACTGGCAAAGCAATTTTGAATGTTTCATTTCTCCCTATTAGTAATGCAAGTGAACATATTTGCCTATCCATGTATCAATTCACCACAGAGCAACAGAGAAAATAAAGGTTCTGGAAATAAGCCTTCCCCAAAGATTTGAGATGTTTTAGAGAAGGGGTCACCAGCTGCAGAGTTCAGCTCCAACCCAGATCAAACACACCTGAACCAATTACTTAGGATCTGAACAGCACTATAATTATAAGTAGGTGGGTTTGATATGGGTTTCAACTGAAATCTGCAAAAGGGTAGATCACCAGGAACAAGTTTGGTCACCCCTGCTTTAGAGTTTAAAATCACCATCAAGGAACAGAGAAAGTACAGGTTCTGGAGTCTTGATGATCATTAATTATGTGTGCGTAATCCAGCCCGATCTCATAAGAGTGGCGATAAATGGAGTGGAAAGTGCAAATCATAATAAACCAATGAGATTATACAAATTTAAACAGATATGAATTGCTATGAGATTGTGTTGTATATTCAAGCAATCCTAAATTGCTTCAGTCCAGTATGTTTGTATCTTGAATTATTAGAATTATTGAATTATTGAATTGAGTTCAAGTTAAAAATAATGAGCTAAACAAAATTTAGTAAATAGATGGAAAGGTCTAGAAGCCTTTAAATGTCGCCAGTTGACAAATTAATGAACAGAACCACAATGCAAACTACAGGTATGTAACACTACAATTGTACTAACTATAGTTACTACCCAACACTACCTAAAGGTTTGAACTGTGCGAGTTGTGTATCAGATCTAAAGTCTGGAGCTGGGTAGATTACCTATGAATGGTAATCCGATTACAAATTACATAACAAAACTGGTAGTCAGTAATATAATACAATTTAGATTGCAAACTTTTAGCAAGGTAATCCTAGATTACATTTAGATTACTTTTGTGCTAACCTTTACTTTATGATATGCATGGATTGATAAAGTAACATATAATAGAATTTTAAGATAACATGATTTGACTACTTTTGGATTACATTTGGATTACTTTTGTGATAACCTTTAGTTTATACTATGTATAGATTAATAACATAACATGATAGACGATTAAAATTACAATCGGACTACTTTTGGACGACAAATTCATTACTTATGTGCTAACCCTTGTTTTATGCTGCATTCATAGATTGCTAAAGTAACATAGAGCACAGATTTAAAATTATGTAATCTGATAACATTTGATATCAGATTGATATCATAACATATAATAGATGATTAAGATAACGTAATCTGACTACTTTTGGATTACTTTTGTGCTAACCGTTACTTGATGCTATGTATGTGTAGATTAATAACGTAACATATAATCGACATTTAAGATCAAATAATCAGACTACTTTTAGATTACATTTAGAATACTTTTGTGCTAACTCTTACTTTATGCTGTGTATGTTTGGATTTTTAACATATAATAGACATTTAAGATAACACAGTCTGATTACTTTTGGATTACATTTAGATTACTTTTGTGCTAAACCTTACATTATACTATGTATGTATGAATTGATAACTTAACATAGTAAATATTTAAGTAAACATAATCTGACTACTTTTGGATTACATATAGATTACTTTTGTGCTAACCTTTACATTATGCTATGCATGTATGAATTGATAACATAACATAGTAAATATTTAAGGAAACATAATCTGACTACTTTTGGATTACATTTAGATTACTTTTGTGCTAACCTTTAATTTATGCTACTGTGTGTATGGATTGATAACGTATAATGGACATTCAAGATAACAATCTAAATACTTTTGGATTACTTTTGTGCTAACCCTTTTTATGCCGTGTATGGATTGATAATGTAACATATGGCAAACCTTTAAAATATACGGATCACTTTAGACCCATGTAGTCCATCAAAGGGTTAATAACGTAACATATAAAAGAAATTCAAGATAACAATCTGACTACTTTGGATTACATTTAGATTACTTTTGTGCTAAGCCTTGTTTTACATCCAAGCGTGTATAGATTGGTTACGTAACATTTAAAATAACTAAATTTGATTATTTTTGAATTACATTTAGATTACTTTTGTGCTAATGATTGCTTCATGCTGTGTATAACGTAACATATAAGAAACATCCAAGATAATAATATCCAACCTCTTTTGGATTACACTTAGATTACTTATGTGCTAATCCTTATTTTATACCATGTATGGATTATTAACATATGGTAGACATTTAAGATAACACATCTGATTACTTTTGGATTACATTTAGATTACTTTTGTGCTAACACTTATTTTATACCATGTATGTATGGATTTGTTACGTAAACATATGGCAGGCATTTGAGATAACATAATCTGACTACTTTTGGATTACATTTAGATTACTTTTGTGCTAACTCTTATTATATGCTATGTATGTATAGATTTGAGATAACATAACCTGACTACTTTTGGATTACGTTTAGATTACTTATGTGATAACCTTTATTTTATGCTATATATTAACATATGGTTGACATTTAAGATAACACATCTGATTACTTTTGGATTACATTTATATTACGTTTGGTTTGACCCCTTTTTTATGCCACAGCAAGTTTTGTAATGAAAAGGAGGAGAAATTATAAACACTGCCAAGCTGTAAATACTATCTAATTATGTAAGCAATAAAATGTAACCATAATCCGATTACTTGTATATTAAAATTGATAGTTTATGCTGATTACAAGTACTTGATTTTTGGAATCTGATTACATAATCCAGATTACATGTAATCCAATTCTACCAAGCTAAAGAATCACAAACGTATACGAGCATCAGTTTATTGTAATAAAATATATATATATTCAAAATTTGCAAAATCAATTATTTGTTAAAAACTTACTTCCATTGTGTGAGTAATATAAAATCATGTCAGGCATTAAAAAAGTACCTGTAGTCTGAATATTAGTATTTTAAATTTTTTATTTACTCTAAATTACAAGTATTTGATATATTATTTTTATTTAGAATCTGATAATGTAATTTAGATGATATGTAATCAACTACTACCCAGCTCTGGTTGTGAACTAGTCTATAAGGTAAGTGTTTCCAAGTGTTTCTTACCCACTCATCACCCTCTTTATACCTCTGAGAATGGAGGAATGCAGTAAACAAATGTTAAAGATGTAAATCATGCTCGACTACACTGTCAAAAACATCCGTTAGTTAACAGTATTGTGTGATACACAGGTTTTTTCTGTTTATTTACGATTATGCATTGCATTATGGGACCGGGATCTCTGCTTAGTCGACTTTTAATTTTGGAAATTGAACTCTGCAGTTTAACAAAATGACATTTATGTATTTTTTGTATTCAAAGTAGTACATATATACTGATATTGATATAGCAGTGGCTATTTTATGACCAGGAATTTGCATTATAATTATCATTAACACCAAACTTATAAAAACAACAATAAAAGTGATGGAAATATCAAACTTTTTAACACAAAAGGCTTTATTTTAATAATCTGAGCACATGGTCTAAAGTGCATGAGGCAGGTGCATTCATTTTTTGCTATTTTAATGACAGGAACAACAGTCTGCGTGCGCGGTGCATGTTCTAAAAGGGTTGTTTTAATGAGCTACAGGCGTGTTTTGGGCGTGACGAGCATTAAACCAATCAGAGTCTCGCCTTAAAAGCAAGTTCTGGTTGCACCATGGCACATTTGCTGTTTAGTGAACATTGGAAGCCATAAATTTAACACTGATCTAGCATGGAAACGGATCTGCTCCATCTACAGAACAAGCCAGAATCACCAAAGCCTTTTGAGGTGAAGAAGGCATGGGAGGTGGTATTGGTTTTACATTTATGTAGAAATTAATAGTCATTTCTATGCTAATCCTTTAACTTTTCAAATTTAAAGATGTTTGTGTGCTGCTGTGTGTGCATCCCTGTGTATGTAATAAGCAGCATGTATGCCAATTTGGACCTGCCTGTTAATGCACTCTTGATATAACAAAAAAATATGGGCTTATTTCAGTTTCCTTAAAATTGCAACTCTCAACAATGCATCTTAACACACCTCCTTTTCAGCCCAGCACACTCATGGGTGCTTAAATAAGCGCAAATGCATCTGCTATGTAAACAACGTGGAACAAAAACGTGAACATGAGCCCTGCACCAGACTGAAACTAGCAAAAACACACTTGAAATTGTTGAAGTTGTCCCATAATGCAATTCAAAATCATAATCAAGAACAAACATGAATCACAAAATACAGAAAACTGCTCATTTACAGATATCTTTCATTACAGTGAGGCTGTTTCATTCTGGAATTCACTAAAGACTCACCTTTGCTCCACAGGTGACGTACGGAGACTGTCCGTCCTTACCAGGCTTCATCCCAATCACCTGCAGAAGAGGCCAAAACATGGATATTAAGCAGAGGTATGGCATTTATGATCATATTGTGGTTTTTGATGACAAAACCATGACAAAAATTGTGATTATTAGTATTAACATCATTTAAAACGCAGGAAAGAGTTAAACATGCATGTGTTTTTCACTGAGATCTTGTTATAAAAAACTGCTATGTTATTATATTTTTGATATTTATGAGGCAAATCTCAAAAACTATCCTATGGTGTGACCATCTCAAGCATAGTTCAATAACACACAGCTCTTAATAATTAAAAAGAAAATCTTTAAATCATTAGTAAATACCTCAGGCCCAATTTAACAAGTGTCTGTTTTAGAAAATGTCAATTTTTCATTCATTCATTCATTCATTCTCCTTTGACTTAGTCTCTTTATTCATCATAAGTTACCACAGAGGAATGAACCACCAACTTATCCAGCATATGTTTTACACAGTGGATGCCCTTCTAGTTGCAACCCAGTACTGGGAAACACCCATAAACACTCATTCACACACACGCTCATACACTGTGGCCAATTTGGTTAATCAATTCCCCTATAGCGCATGTGTTTGGACTGTGGGGGAAACCCACGCCAACACGGGGAGAACATGCAAACTCATGAATGATTACTTATTTTTTAAGATTTGTTTTTTTCTGTACAAGAATTTATAATGTTATATTTTCTCAGACTTCTTTAAATAGACTGTATAAATACCTTGCAAAAAATTATTTGCTTACTAAGATTTTTTGTCTTGTTTGTTTAGTCCAAATATCTAGAAATTCTTAAAGCAAGAATTTTTCTACTTTTTCTAGCAGGCAAAAATATACTGTTTATTTTGCTAGCGCACATTGTTATTCTTAAAGTTAATAATTAATCCATGCAAGTTATTCCACTGAAAAAAAATTTGTTTTATTAATCTTCAATGAAGGTCTAAGTATTTGCTTCCTCGTTTAAAGTGACGGTCCTTCTGATTCGTCAACTTGAGGATTTCCATAGCAACTGCATATAATTATCCTCTCTAACTGTTAGTTTGCTATGAGGGAATGATGCACAAAGAAAGCCCCGCCCTTACTTAGTATTCTGTTTCAATTGAAAATACATTAGCATACTGAATTAAAGCCCCGCCTCCTACTCAATATTCCGTTTTAATTGGAAGTACATCATCATACTGAAATAAAGCCCCACCCCCTAGTCAATATTTCATTTCAATTGGAAGTACATCGTCATACTGAAATACAGCCCCGCCCCCAACCCAATATTCAGTTTCAATTGGAAGTACATCCTTATACTGCAATAAAGCCCCGCCTCCTACTAAATAGTCAGGTTCAGTTGGAAGTACATCATCATACTGAAAAAGCCCCACCCCCAACTCAATATTCAGTTTTCCCCACCCCCAACTCAATATTCAGTTTTCCCCACCCCCAACTCAATATTGAGAAGTGCATCATCATACTAAAATAAAGCCCCGCCTCCTACTCAATATTGTCTCAGTTGGAAGTACATCATCATTCTAAAAAAGCCCCGCCCCCTACTCAATATTCTGCTTCAATTGGAAGTACATCAGCATACTGAAAAAGCCCCGCCTCCTACTCAATATTACTTCGTAAGTTCTGCCTCTTACTTAATATTACTTTATAAAGCCCCACCCCCTACTCAATATTCTGCTTCCATAGGAAGTACATCATCATACTGAAATAAAGCCCCACCCCCTACTCAATATTCTGCTTCCATAGGAAGTACATCAGCATACGTAAAAATTCCCGCCCCTACACAATAGTCTGTTGCAATTGGAAGTACATCAACATACTGAAATAAAGCCCCGCCTCCTACTCAATATTGTCTCAGTTGGAAGTACATTATTATACTAAAAAAGCCCCGCCCCCTACTCAATATTCTGCTTCCATAGGAAGTACATCAGCATACGTAAAAAGTCCCGCCCCTACACAATAGTCTGTTGCAATTGGAAGTACATCATCATACTGAAATAAAGCCCCGCCTCCTACTCAATATTGTCTCAGTTGGAAGTACATCATCATACTAAAAAAGCCCTGCCCCCTACTCAATATTCTGCTTCAATTGGAAGTACATCAGCATACTGAAAAAGCCCCGCCTCCTACTCGATATTACTTCGTAAGTTCTGACTCTTACTTAATATTACTTTATAAAGCCCCACCCCCTACTCAATATTCTGCTTCCATAGGAAGTACATCATCATACTGAAATGAAGCCCCGCCCCCAACTCAATATTCAGTTGCAATTGGAAGTACATCATCATACTGAAATAAAGCCCCGCCTCCTACTCAATATTGTCTCAGTTGGAAGTACATCGTCATACTAAAAAAAGCCCCGCCCCCTACTCAATATTCTGCTTCAATTGGAAGTACATCAGCATACTGAAATAAAGCCCTGCCTCCTTCTCAATATGACTTTATAAAGCCCTGCCTCCTACTCAGTTTTCTGCTTCAATATTATGTTGCAATTGGATGTACATCAGCATACTAAAATAAAGCCCCGCCTTCTACTTAATATTTTCTTTATAAAGCCCCGCCTCCCACTTAATATTCTGCTTCAATATAGCGTTTCAATTGGAAGAACATCAACATCCTGAAATAAAGCCCCGCCCCCTACTAAATATTCCATTTCAATTGGAAGTACATCAACATACTGAAATACCCCCCCCCCCCTCTTCCCCAATCAATATTCAATTTCAATTAGAAGTACATCAACATACTGAAATAAAGCCCCGCCCCCCCACTCAATATTCGGTTTCAGAATATTATTATGTAACTTGTAATGTGTTTTCCCCCAACACTCATGCCTATAGTTGAGGATGTGTGAGTTACCCGGTTGAGTTTGATGAGTATGCAGGGTTTTCCATCCGGGTATCCGTAAAAGCGGTCGGTGAGTCCGGAGCAGTCCTCCAGCGTGGTGCGGTTGAACCGGCAGGATCGTTTGGGGTTGTTTCGCACGTTTCCGCTGTCCTCCTGGATGTTGAACTGGTCCGGGGTGCAGTCGTCATTATTCACGGCCTGCTGAGAGTTATTATAGGCTGCAGGACACAGACGGAGACGCCACATTAATTCAGTGCCTTTAAATGCAAATGAGCAGGTTCTGTTCCCACCCACCATTACCACATCTGCTTTTCCTGCTGTGTTGCGTCAGATAAACAGCAGTCAGTGACTAAAGGAAATGTCTACAGTAAACCTGTGCGGGTCGTTTACATTTCATATGAGAAGCACTTCTCACAACACAGATGCTTTACACACACCAATACTTGTGTGTAAATGTTCATTACTAACCTTAATATCAACATGATTTGATTATAACTGCAGATCAATGACAATAGCCTACTGTAACGTCTGCAATTATATAGAATAAATAAATGAACGAACATATATGAACACATACAAACCCTTACAGTCTCCGATATACAGAAAAACTACACACAGTATGCATTTAGTCCTTATTTGGGTTCAAAAACAACACAACATATGGCCCACAGTCAGAGCAAACCTCTCATCTGTGTCTGTAATCTTCAGCAGCACATGTAGCCTCTGTTAGAGAGTATCTCCATCATTCTCAGTTCATAATAGTCCATATGGTGATGATAATAGTTAAACATTTCAGTGCAGTGTGTTCATGATTTAGGTTGCTGAAGGAATCATTTGCTCCTTTGTTTTTTCCGGCTTCTCCTTTGTTTTGTTGGGCTTTAAAGGGTCACGAAACACCAGAACACATGTGTTGATCTGTTGACAGTGGTATATGTGTCCCACAATGCTAAAAACACTATCAGGACACCTATATTTCACTAAAAAGTGTCAATTGTTTGTTTTTGTGTTAATTCAAGCAAATTCGTACTTCCTGTTTGAAACGAATTTTTGAAGCTGCGTCACGGTCATGACATAATAGCGTGTATTCCAGCGTGCAGACTGGACGTCTGTACCAGAGTGAGTCTTATTACGTCTTACAGTGTGTTGCATTAATGCATGAGTAAGGCTTGGTTCAAACCAATCAGCGCGCTCTATTGTGCAACTTCATTAATATTCATTACTGTGTTTACACGACAGAGACGCCACGTTGTGTTGGCAAAACAAGCGTGAAGTGTTGCTTTTATAGTTTGCTGCAGTGAAGTTTTGTTTTCATTTTCTCTCTGTGAGAGCTCAGCTGGAGTCACGTGTGGATTAACAGTGTACGCGACGCTCGACAACAATAACTTACGTGTCTAAGGAGGATTATTGTTTACCTGAGAGCTGTTCTCATCTGCAAACGCTGAGATCCGGATTCACTTGTAGTCTCCTCTTTATAAACGGGAGAATCCCGGGAAAAACGGGAGGGTTGACAGGTATAAGCTAATCTAGGTTAGTCGTGCAACCCCTTGTTGTCCTAGACGGAAGTTAACGCCCTTTCCACCTAAGTACACTTGAATCAATATCAAGAGTCAGTCTGATCCCTAAAACACAATTAGTGTGCCCAATGCTCCATCTCAACTTTATTTTAGTCCATCTATTGACCTGACGCAAGAAGTGCGGAAACAAGGATGCAGCGTAATCTACTGGAATTAATGATTACAGAGTGAGCAAAATGTGTTCAAACATAACAATTTATTAAATAGTTAAACAAAAGTAATTATTCAAATCCAATTCAAACAACAGACAAAATGTAATCTAATCTAAACAAGAAAAACATCATCAAATTAATCAAATCAAATCTGTTAACACAATGAAAAGAGGTTTTACAAATGTTTACCTGGAGATGAAAACACACACAGAAGTTGTGTGGGAGATCTGCATACAGATTCCCCTATTGCCACCTTCTCTTAAAGGGCCATGAAACCCCCTCGTTTCAGCAGGGTGTTTTCACACCTCTACTTTGGAAAAAGTCAGAAAAGTGGGCGTGTCCAGCTCTGTTTAGGGGGGAGTGTCGGAGGAACTAAAGTGGGATGGTGTGGGAGTGTCTATTTGGGCGGGTTTTAGATTCAAAATACACACACACGGGACAAAGTGACTGTGTTTACATGGACATCTGTAGTCGAATTATTTGCCAAATTATTAAATGGTGGACTTTAACAGCAGTTTGGCTCTTTCATTCAGGGAATTCAGTCATGTCCCTCGCGACAAACGAGATATTTGATTCGAGGCGCTGCTCTAAGCGTGTATTTTTCATGCAATGTTTGATACCGCACGTCGAATGACAGAAAAAAAAAACTCAGCATTTCCCGGAAACTTAGATGCACACGGCAGGTAGCGTCAGAAAGCCGCATGTGTTATTCCGGTCACTAAATGCGGTGAAAATCCTACACGAGGTTAAAGTTTGGTTGTGATGCTAACATGTTTACACTCGGTGCAATAGTTTGTTCGATACGAACAAACTGAGTAAACAAAGAGCACTGGTCGCTCACTTACCAAATCTGTAGAGACAGGACAATCACCAGCAACTAGAGCCGCGTCTTTATGAAGAGGAGACTACAAGCGAATCCGTATCTCAGCGTTTGCAGATGAGAACAGCTCTCAGGTAAACAATAATCCTCCTTAGACACGTAAGTTATTGTTGTCGAGCGTCGCGTACACTGTTAATCCACACGTGAGTCTGAGCTCTCACAGAGAGAAAATGAAAACAAAACTTCACTGCAGCAAACTATAAAAGCAACACTTCACGCTTGTTTTGCCAACACAACGTGGCGTCTCTGTCGTCTAAACACTGTGACAGTAATGAATATTAATGAAGTTGCACAATAGAGCGCTCTGATTGGTTTGAACCAAGCCTTTACTCATGCATTAATGCAGCACACTGTAAGACGTAATAAGACACACTCTGGCTCAGACGTCCAGTCTGCATGCTGGAATACACGCTATTATCTCATGACCGTGACGCAGCTTCAAAAATTCGTTTCAAACCGGAAGTATGAATTTGCTTGAAATAACGCAAAAACAACCGATTTACACTTTTTAGTGAAATATAGGTGTCCTGATAGTGTTTTTAGCAGTGTGGGACACATATACCACTGTCAACAGCTCAACACATGTGTTCTGGTGTTTCGTGACCCTTTAAATACCCATTTGTGCACCTCAGGGTGTTTCTTTGATATTCGCATTTAAACATCACTCTATTGGGATAGAAATTCCGTGTCGTTTTGTTTTTGGTGGGAAGAGGTCTTGGCTGAGGTTCCTGTGATATTAACATTGGTATGTTTTTGGCAAAAGGAGGTTTTGGTTGTAAAGCTTGATTTATAATTTTATTTCTGGTCCTACGGCGAGTATTTTAATGTTTACAGGGGTGAGACCTTCTTTGCCAGACCCACCGGAACCTTCAATGTGTTGACATTTGAATATCTTAAGACAGAGATAAACGAGGAAGGGTATGTCAGGAGATAAGTGTCCGGGAGAGATTTTGTTCTCACACTGAGGCCCCGTTTACACTAATGCGTTTTCGTTTTAATATGCATTCGTTTTGCTACGGTTACGCCATCCGTCCACACTACGTCGGAGTTTTTGAGCGCCGAAAACGGAGCGTTTTGGAAACGCTGGAGAGGCCATTTTCATTCTGAAACGCTGCTGCTCCGTCTCAGTGTGGATGGGGGAAAACAGAGACATCTGAAAACGGAGGCAGGGCTACAGACAATTGACTATCTGATTGGGGCTTTTCCTCAATATTAAGTAGCCCAACACACACAGTTCAGTCCTGCATCCTCTCCTTGTCAGACTTCGCAAGTTTGATCAAGGCTGCAGTCTCCCCCTCCTCAGTTTGATATGGAAAACAGACTACCGAGGACACGGGTAAATCTTCAAAGGGAACAGTGTACTTTATAACCTCATTCACATCAACTTGGCTAAGTTGTTTCACTTTCTCAACAATAAAATGAAAACATGATGTAAGGAACTGCCTATTTTCATTTTAATATTAGCAACAGACAGCAGAAATGTTGAAGCGTCGTGCTGCATATATGAGCGTCATCTTCACTGTGTGCATATTTATAACAAAACTGGGCCGATAACATCACTGCCTGCTTTCAATTTCAGTGAAAATACGAAACGCACCCTCTCTATTGCTGAATATCAGTTTTAATAATCGATAATGGCCATTATAAAAGTATAACATACAATAAGTTTATACATTTATAGGAAATAAAGGCAAGCGATCAGTCAATATACAGAATGTGTGTGTGTGTGCGTGTGTATATTTCCCATATGAACATGATTCCCATCTAGAAAGTACACTCATGTGTTGTGGTTTTTCAAATCACATGATCATACTGTATGTTCTAAAAAAGAACTCATAATGTATTATTTTCTCCTTAACCTCTTACTGTTCCTATTGCCTATAGAATAAAAAAACCTACAAATGTCAAGACATCACGATCCGAAAACCGTGTTAAAAAACCGAGGTATGTATTGAACCGTGGGCTGACTGTATTGTTGCATCCCTACAAAACATATGAACCCATAAGCTAGACCAAGTTATTGTTAT